GGTATATAGTTCAAAAAAAAGTTAGAAAATAGTTAAAAGCAATGTGGTGGTACTTTTTGATACTTTTTGGCTTAAATCAAAGAACACAATAATAAAAATCATGCCTCACCTGATTGATGCTCCAAGTGGCCAAAATTATTTTCCAGTGGTTTTTTGGCGACGAAATACGACGTCAATAACTTCACAGTGTTAATTGAAAGTCCGAATATGGTATGCGATAGCGAAAAAAATAAACGAATCTTAGATTTATTTGAGTTTGATTTTAATTATTTTTAGATAACGTTGCGTATTGTGCGTACAGAAGCGGGAATTTGAATTGGTTCTATGAGTTCCAAATTCAAAATTATGTTATTATTGAACCATCTTTGGAATTCCTACGCCTTCAAAGAGAATTCATTGAATCTCAACGAAGCGGCGTCACAGGCGTCCAAACTCTGAATCGAAAACCGTGATGAAGATGAGAAGACACTCGTTAAAGTATGTATATAAAATTTATTTATTGAATAGCAGTACTGGTTGTCTCCCTCTATTAATAAACAAAACCAGAAAACTACCTCTCGTGATCCTCTCCTCGTGATGCCAAAGCCATGAACTAGCATAAACAAGCACAAAAAGAGCTTGAACGCGAAATTTATTCTACAGAGACCAAAGCGTAAGACTTTTTTTTAATTTTTTTTTACTGCTTCGATGGATGGACGAGCTCACAGCCCACCTGGTCTTAAGTGGTTACTGGAGCCCATAGACATCTACAACGTAAATGCGCCACCCACCTCGAGATATAAGTTATAAGGTCTCAGTATAGTTACAACGGCTACCCCACCCTTCGAACCGAAACGCATTACTGCTTCACGGCGGAAATAGGCGGGGTGGTGGTACATACCCGTGCGGACTCCCAAGAGGTCCTACCACCAGTGATTACGCAAATTATAATTTTGCGGGATTGGTTTTTATTACACGATGTTATTCCTTCACCGTGGAAGTCAATCGTGAACATTTGTTGAGTACGTAGGTATTTCATTAGAAAAATTGGTACCCGCCTGAGGGATTCGAACACCAGTGCATCGCTTCATACGAATGCCCCGGACGTCTTATCCTTTAGGCCACGACGACTTAAACATCGACATACATCGAGTAAGTCTGTAAAGAGTGCAAGAGACAATAATTGTTCTATATTAATATTATGCAAATTAGACGTTTTCGCGGACGACTTCCACGATGAAGGAATAATGTCAAGCAATAAAATAAAACCCGCTTAATTTGTAAATTGACGTATTTGCTGGTATCAGGTATTTATTGGGCGTATAGTAAACCCGCACGAGCAGGTATTTCTGCCGCGAAGCAGTCGTGCATTCCGGTTCTGAACCGCCGTTATGTAATACAATTGCAATTTCGATCTCAGGTCTCAAAGTGGTTTTTAATTATTCACAGCGTAGATGGAGGAACAAGCAAGCTAACGGCCTACTAAATTGTACTCACTATGTACGTATGAAACAGAATGAGTCGTGAGTTTGCTCACACATCTATACCTATATAAAAATGGTAATATTTAATTTAATGAAGATTCCTTGAATACACTTTTTAGGATATTTTGTATAGTTGAACAATGTTGAAATATACAATTTATATACATAAATGATAAGGTGTTTAAAGTTAAATTAAATAATCTAATTCTTAGTAAAGAAGTCGACTTTTGTTTTTTACCACAAAATAAATTCCGTTATATAGTGATACAATCCTATCTGATGCGTGTAATGGAAAGTGAAACGTAAGACAAACAGGAAAAAAATATTTTTAGATATTTATGTTAGGAGAATTGATAAATTCAACGACTTTGCTGTTACTATACTGTATATCGTTATATTGCACTAAAAGCAAATAGATTTCACACTAGATCATGAAATAATTTAAGCGTTATTCACACAGATAGTAGGAATTAGAATAGATCATGCTACAAGCCCGCATGGTTACCAAGGGCGGATCCAGGGGGGGGGTCATGGGGGTCATGACCCCCCCCTGAGCTGGTTCCAGGACCTAGGTGGACCACATATTGAACATAATGATTTAAGGACACAATACTTAGTCTGGCCATAAATACTGTTACAATTAAAAATAAACAAAATATTACATTTGAATTTGGAATCTGTCATTTTTATGTGATTGCTCATTGAGTTTTCTCATTTTGGCGCCAATACATTGTACAATATTTTGCGATATTAAAATGGAGTGGGGTGATAAAGAAAACCGAATCGCTGTGATTGCATTAAGCAAAGTAGGTATGGAGCCAAATGCAATTTTTAAAACTCTCCATACGCTTGGTATTAGTAAAATGTTTGTGTACCGGGCTATTAATAGGTGCAATGAGACCTCCTCTGTTTGTGACAGAATAATATCTAGCCGTCCACGTAGTGTTCGTACGAAAAAGGTGGTCAAAGCAGTAAGGGAAAGAATTCGAAGAAATCCTGTCCGAAAGCAAAATATTTTATCTCGGGAGATGAAGATAGCACCTAGAACCACGTCGCGTATTTTAAAAGATGACTTAAGACTTGCAGCCTATAAGAGACCTAGTGGTCATTTCTTAACTGATAATTTAAAAGAGAATAGGGGGTAAAATCGAAACAACTACTGAAACGGTACGCAAAGGGAGGTCATAGAAAAATTTTGTTTACGGATGAGATATTTTTTACAATTGAGCAACATTTTAACAAACAAAAGACCGTATTTATGCTCAAAGCTCTAAGGAAGCTTCCCAATTAGTCGACAGAGTGCAACGTGGCCACTATCCGACTTCAGTGATGGTTTGGTGGGGTATTAGCTATGAAGGAGTGACTGAGCCATACTTTTGTGAAAAAGGTATCAAAACATCGGCACAAGTGTATCAAGATACCATTCTTGAGAAGGTAGTGAAGCCCCTTAACAACACCATGTTCAATAATCAAGAATGGTCCTTCCAGCAAGACTCGGCGCCAGGTCATAAAGCTCGGTCTACGCAGTCTTGGTTGGAAACGAACGTTTCGGACTTCATCAGAGCTGAAGACTGGCCGTCGTCTAGTCCCGATCTTAATCCGCTGGATTATGATTTATGGTCAGTTTTAGAGAGTACGGCTTGCTCTAAACGCCATGATAATTTGGAGTCCCTAAAACAATCCGTACGATTGGCAGTGAAAATTTTTCCCATGGAAAGAGTGCGTGCTTCTATTGATAACTGGCCTCAACGTTTAAAGGACTGTATTGCAGCCAATGGAGACCACTTCGAATAAGCTTTTTATACTTTAAATTGTTTTATATTTATGTATTAAACTAACACACTGTAAAAGTAATAAATGTTATTTGCAATAGAAATTTTTAATTTCCTTTGTTTCAGTATTTATGGCAAGACTAGGTATATTGTTGCTCCTTATATTGCTCCTTAATTAATTTAATATAATATAATAGCTTTGTATGATGGCAAATGTTTGGGAACGAACGCATCGAAAATTTGAATTTTACCGCGCCACACTCGCGCGCGCTTTTCGACTACGTAACGTCTAGCTAGGCCTAACCTCAATCGGAATCGGAACGACTAAGCTTCAACATATCATAACATAGTTCTAAGCTAAAAAACCAAAATTTCTTTATACCTTTAATGTGCTTATAATAAAATACCTACTTTTTACTTGTATCTATTGTTATCAAAATTAAATTATAAGTTCTTGACTTGACCATGACTATGTGACCCCCTCCAGGCACCACAGCTGGATCCGCCCTTGATGGTTACCAACCACTTTCTTGTTTCTGCAGCACAGTACCTAATTGTAAGTTGTGATTTCAAGGTTAGGATAGCGGTCAGTTTGACTCAAAGTCAGTGACTTCATATTGTAAGATTTATAGGGCTCCTGTCTCTGATCGCTATTACGCTACTGGAGAAGAAGCCTGTAACATGCATAATTGAAAAAGCCCGGACTGGTAGGTGAGCTCACGGGCTCAACCTGAGAGAATTGCTAACACTGGCCCTAGCAAGAGTAGCGCTTCGCTGAATTGGCGTCAATTGAATCAACAGTTTGGAATTGCAAACCACTTTTTTATTGTTTTTTTATTGCCTAGATGTTTGGACAAGCTCACAGCCCACCTGGTGTTAAGTGGTTACTTGAACCCATAGACATCTACAACGTAAATGCGCCACACACCCTGAGTAATAAGTTCTAAGGTCTCAGTATAGTTACAACGGCTGCCCCACCCTTCAAACCGAAACGCATTACTGCTTCACGGCAGAAATAGGCGGAGTGGTGGTACCTACCCGTGCGGACTCACAAGAGGTCCTACCACCAGTAATTACGCAAATTATAATTTGGCGGGTTTGATTTTTATTACACGATGTTATTCCTTCACTGTGGAAGTAAATCGTGAACATTTGTTAAGTACGTATTTCATTAGAAAAATTGGTACCCGCCTGCGGGATTCGAACACCGACGCATCGCTAGATACGAATGCACCGGACTTCTTATCCGTTAGGCCACAACGATTTCTGTTATTTGTTATTAAAATTTACTAAAATCACAATGATGAGCTACAAGGTCGAATTATCAATGGAAGAAACGGATAAAAGTTACCAGAGCTAGAATTTAATCTGATTTCGAGAAATTTAATAGTTTAGAATATTTTACTATTTACGATGACTTTCGAGTAATTTTGCGATAATCCTCATTTACTCCGTATCCATTTCATTTTAGGTCCTTCACATCTCATTTCTAAATGTAGGTACTGTAAATTACTATTGTACAATACCATTCGAATACTACCAGACCAGGTTAGTTTTTAGTTTATATTCAAAAAATGGTCTTTGAGCTCGAAATGTAACTATATATTAATACTCTTCTGCACTTGTAAGCATGATTGAAAAGCGATTTTTATATTTACTAATCAGTCCCATTATTCGTATTTGAGAAACAATTGTTTATTAATGGGACATTACAGCACCACAGCTATTTTGAGCTATACATTTTATAAGTTTAGTACTTTTTCTTGTTTGACTACCGGCAGCACTGCTAAGCGACGCGCAGTCCGCACCAGCTGTCATATTTATTTATTAAATTACAATTTTGTCAACTTGCGGGTTTTGTACCGTAAGAAGATAATTATTTGATTTAGTTCAATTGTAACTATAACAATAAACGCATGATTAAGTATATCGTCATTCATCTTTGTTTTCAAGGCGCAATGTAACAAGCGTCAGACATGGACCAGCAGTTCTCATTGTCTTGGAACAATTTTCACGGAAACTTAACGAAGGGATTCGCCGGCTTATTGGGCAACAGCGAGTTCGTCGATGTTACAATAGCAGTTGAAGGGCATTTACTACAAGCCCATAAAGTGATATTATCAATATGTTCGCCGTATTTCAAGAAAATGTTCCTAATGAATCCGTGTCAACATCCAATAAGTGAGTATTTTTCTAAACAAAAAAAACAGAAAATACAAAAATGATTCATACAGACAATAAAATAGCTTTCAGTATTTCTGGAGACATTAAAAACCTAAACATTTTAGCCCAAAAAACACAACTTGTAATTTTAAAACATTCTAATGTTCGTATAATTTTTGTATATGATATTTTCTTTTTAGTTGTTTTAAGAGATGTCACTCACAAAGCAATGAGAGATTTACTACAATTTATGTACCATGGTGAAGTTAGCGTTAAAAGAGAAGATCTCACTAGTTTTATAGGTACAGCAGAGGTTTTGCAGATCAAAGGATTAACAAACAAAGAGGTATAGTTAAATCAGAATTTAAAAAAATAATAACATTGATTCCATCTCATCTATTTTTCTTAGATACTAAAAATCTGAACACTAGTGACCACTGTGTGGCTCACAGCTTGTTCAGCTACTTAGGCAATTAAGTAAGGTGCATTAGAATGGTTCAAAAATAATGGATATTGTGGTCAATGGCATTCTGTTGCTCAATACTATTGAAAAAAGTTCTATGATCAGTGTTTAGGGTCATGGCAAACACTAATGTGTATTAATATAGCAATGGCAATTAATAACCATCTAGTTACTGGTGGTAGGGCATCTTGTGAGTCCACACAGGTAGGTACCACCACCCTGCACATTTTTGCCGTGAAGCAGTAATGCATTTTGATTTGAAAGGTGGGGCAGCCGTTGTAACTATTCTGAGACCTTAGAACTTATATCTCTAGGTGAGTGGTGGCAAATACCAAGTGGGCCGTGAGCTCATCCACCCATATAAGCAATAACAATTTAATTATTTAATTATTCCTACTGCGCTTAAATATAGGAATTCTAAACATAAAATCAAGGATACCTTGAACTGGAATGATAAAACGAACAATCAATCTATTGAGTTACATTGGAGAAACATTTTTTTGACAAATATTAACTATTATAGCACCTTAAATGATTTTCCACAAACAGACCTTAAATCATTTCAATAAATATTCCATGTGTACAATCTGTAAGAAGTAATTGGTTTTCCCTATAATTTTTCGATATCTTTATTTTAGACTGAAGAAGAAGAGATTGAAAAGGAACAAAATTTATCCAAACAAACATTGGAGGCTCAAAATATTCTAGAAACTGACTCACACAATACAGAAAACTATGATCATTCTGATGAAACAACTAACAGTGAACTTATTCTGCTCAAACAAAGACAGTTTATAGAAAAATTGCAAAGACTAAGTAACTTGAAAAGGAAATCTGAAGATTACCTACAAAATAATTATTTTGACGTTGCTAACTCTGAAAAGAGGCCAAAAATAAAAGAGAAAACTTACAATAACCATACAGCGTTACATAGTAACAATTTTGATAAAATAAAAAATATTTATGATGAAAATCCAGTTGATATCACAACTTCTTATAATACTCATGTTCAGAAGAATAATAATGAGATAAATGAAAAAATTAAGGAACAACTTTCACCTGAACATAGGTTAGAATTGAAAACTGAATGTGACGATGGAGACATAGTTGTGACTGATCCAGCAGCTTGTACAACTCCAAAAAATTATGATGTTGCCAGAGATATGTCTAAAGATACGGTGCCAATAGACTATCCATCACCACAAGACAGTAAGTAGTTTTCAAATAAACCTAAATGGTTGACCCATTCTTACCTATTCCTAGGATATGTGGGGTTAGTTTTTCAAAGTTACAAGCTAGAACAGACCATGATTTAAAGCCTATTTGTTGGCTATAGTTTAGACTGGTATTCCATAGGCATTTCTTCATATAATACAATTGCATTAGTTTTCTTATATAACTACTACCCTAAAAATAGATATACTATAAATCTGTATAAAGTGATATCAGTGAGTAGCATACTAGCTTACTAGTAGTAGGTATATTTGGACCAAATCTTGTGTCCCGAATATTATTACTATCCAGGCTCTAAAACTTTTGGTTAAGTTAATTAATTAGCCTAAAGCTTATATCTTGAGTAATTTTCATTTTTCAAAGATTTTGTTTTTAGTTAGTATAAACTTCATAAAAATCTAAATTAACAGAATTTGTTGGCAGAAATTAAAATATGGATTTAACGTAATTCTACGTTGAGAGTTAAAAGAAATGTTAGCAGCAGTTTCACTGAACTGGACTTGTAATTTAGACTGTGTCTACTTAATTTACTTAATCCTGTGTACAGCGGTTGTGTTTCATGAAATAAAATAAGACAGAGATTGTGTTGAAAATGCAATCATTTTATTAGTTTTCATAAGGCACTTTTTTCTTTTGCATTGGTTTCTATGAAAACACGATGGCATTTTCAACATTATTGAATCTTATATTTAATATTTCTTTTTACAATCTATTATCATTGAATTGAAAATGCCCATCGTGATTTCAGATACGGGTTTAAGTTCGTTGTTCATGGATCTTAAAAATTTAGTGAATGGAAAGGTGACTAATATGTTGAGAAGTGGTGTAAGTGAAGAATATCCAAGAAATTTGACTGTGGAACATCGTCTTGTCACAATACCACAGAAAGAGGATGGCAAAAAGAAATATCCACAAAGATCTTGCCGTCTTTGTTGGAAAATTGGAAAACGAAGGGATACGCGTTTTATGTGTGGAGCTTGCGAATTACCATTTTGCAAGTCACCATGTTTTGAAATACATTTTAATGATGTACTCAAAGTATCTCAGTTGCAAGGAGACTATTATGCTACTTAGTTTAGAGTTTGTTAGCAACTATAATTCCTCTAAAGAGGCCAGACAGGTTTATAAGATATTTGCGGGCAAATTCGAATTAAATTTTGAATCATAGATTCAATACCAGTATTGGGACCAAAAGGGCAAGATCAAAATTTATGAGTTACATATTTTGCTACATTAGGTTTACTTTAGGATTAGTATACAAAATATCACATATAAATGAAGGAGTAATAAAGGTATCATGTTGCACAATAAAAAGTAATCCACTGTGATAAGGACTGCTCTCAAGTGCCAATTACATGAAAAAAAATATTTTTAAAAAGTTCATAAATCAAAATGTTGAAAATTTTCCTCATTTGACTAGTGCCATGAGTTTTACTGCCATATCGTTTATGAACACTTTATTGCTCATATTCTAGTCTATTTATTGTAAGCTTTTACTGTGTATGTTCCAGTGTGCTTTATACTATTATCACGATTTGACTTATTTGTAATTGATCTCTATAAGAGTTTAAGGATTGATAATTTGGGTGATTTAAAAATGAGATTTACATTCCTATAAAATTTGAGTGATCTTTTTTGTAATTTAGTACTCTAAAAGACATTAAATTGATATTAAATTGAAATGTGTGATGTTACTTAAGCGTGTTTTACTGCAACTGAATGTATTTTTTTATATCCATATTTGAATTAAAATAAACGTGTTTAACGAATGAATAGCCTGCTTTTATTTGAACAGAGAATACGACAAATAAACTTATTAAAGTACAAAAACTGTAACTCATTCATAAATAATCGGAACATAGGTAAAATAAACGGTCTATTTATTCTTAAAAAAATTTGATTGCAGGTGCCCTGTCATTGGTCGTGAACGGATCTAGTGAAAACCAACTGTTACCTGTGCGGTATAAATACATTTACAGTAGGAAAGGTCACAAACAATTGGTGCATATGAACTTTGTATATACGAAACATTCTACGACACATGGAAAAACTTCGTGGCGATGCGTTCAGTACTTCTCATTAAATAGGTGTCCCGCTACGGTGGAAACTATAGATTCTATGATATATGCGGTGAACCATCAACATAATCATGAGGACTGCATCGAGAAACTATCTAGAAACAATGTTTATGAAATGAATGTTTCGCCAAAACAAGAATGAATCTCTGTACATAGTACTAAGTTAAGATAAATGTAAAGTTCCTATGAAATATAATTTGTCGAATGTATTAATTCAGCTAATTACAATAGTTTTTGTACGTAACCTTTAGGTTCATCTAGTCAGAAAACACCTAAATTAAAAATAATATTCATTATATAATATCTTAAAAATAAGTAAATATATGATTAATATAAAAAAACACCAATAATTGAAAAATTGTTTTATTTGCTTTTATGCCATCCCATCATGATTTAGCTTTCTTTGTGTCACTTTGGGAAGCTAAAATCGCTGCCATTCTTTTCCTCGGTCGATGTTTTTTACTAAACCCTATGCCTGAAAATATTTAAAAAAAAACGATTAATAACCAGTCAAATAGTAAATATGTAGTAAAAAAAATTCAATAAATCGTACAAATAAATATCCTACTGGGAGATTTTAATGAAATATATGAGCTAATTAAATAAATAAAAAGATTACAGTGAGCATTAACATTAGCTCACTTTAAAAATAACATACCCAAATAGTTTTTAATCTTGATGAAATCATGAAGAGCAGATTCAAAGAAAAAATGGTCCTGATACTAATCGTCAAAAGTCTATGACAAATATATTATTCAAAATAGCATCTCGAATTAAGTAGTGTAAACAAAGAAAGTTTAACTTTAGGGGCATTTGGATATTATTTCAATGGACAATAGTCGCCCATAGACTTCAGCAATGCCAGGGGCAGAGCCAAGCCGCTGCCTACCGTAAACCCAGTTTTTTATGAAATCACTACCGTAAACCCAGTTTTTAATTAAATCAAACAATAGTGATTAAGGAAGGAGGTAAGCATTAAAGGAAATATAGTTAGCAGTGGATAACCAGGGCTATAGTATCACCTGATTAGCTTAACATGCTAATTTTAGACAACAATAAATACAAATTTTACACACGTATATCAACATCAGGCTTTTCTTTTAAACCAAAAGATCTTGCTAAAACGTCTAGATCCATTGTCAACAAATTAAATATCTGTTTTAGTTTTCTGACTTCCAGCGCTCTAACGTATCCCTCAAATGCTTCAATCGCTACGTTTACGAAGTTAGAATCAGACATTGCCGTATCCAACTATAATATAAATAAAATAAACATTCACATCCAATAAGTAAGGTTGTGTGAAAAACTATATGTGTAAGAGGGGAGTGAGCAAAGAAATGGTATATGATAGAGGAGTACGGAAGGAGAAAACATGTTGCGCCGACCCCAGGTGACTGGGAGAAGGGCAGGAGAATGATGATGATGATCCAATAAGCAAGTTCGATTCGATCTTAGATTTAAAAATATGTTAATAATCATTAGATTCAAAACTTTTGAAAACGAATTAGCTATAAATTCGAAGGCAACCTAAAGTTTTTTTATACAATTACATATGTTTTATTATTTTTTTTTTTTTTTTTTCCCTTGTAGGCAGACGAGCATACGGCCCACCTGATGGTGAGTGGTTACCGTCGCCCATGGACTTCAGCAATGCCAGGGGCAGAGCCAAGCCGCTGCCTACCGCTTAATACTCTCCACAAGCCTCGTTTGAAGAAGGACATGTCATATTATGACTTTAAATTGTTTTTTTAACGTCATTAATTATTCAAATTCATACAAGATTTTAACATGCGTACTTAGTATTTTTTTTAATACCTTTTTTTGTAAATTATAATAAGAATCCCAGCTTTCGTATTTATCTACATATATTTTAGATTCCTTCAGGTAATCCACAAAACCCACTTCCTCAGGTCTTAGAAGTAAAACTGCATTACCATCAGCACCTAAACCTCTCGCCGTTCTGCCCACTCTGTGAATGTATTCCTAAAAAAATATTTCAAACTTTAAATACTGCTAACAATTATTGCCGCTAACCAAATTGAAAACAGTGTGCTTAGTGTGTTTTTTAACGTTCTCGATAGCGTAAAAGTTAACTCTAATTTGTATGGAGTTGGAACAGCGCCTCTAGCAGCAAACGTAAGGAAACGTTCCAACTCCATACAAAATTGAGTTAACTTTTACGCTCGAGGTGTTTTTTCGCAAATATTGCCATAGCTCAAAAATAATGGGCGACTTGCGGGAACAGTAACTAATCATTACTTTCCGAGAGTTGTCAAATGGCAGTCCGACCTATTTGTGGTCACGGGATGTCCGCCACGGCCCACTGGTTAATATAGTTTTCAACAAAGTTAGCCATCTAAACATTCAGAACGTTCGAAACACAACCTAAAGGCGTTCGAAACCGTTTTAAACGGCATGTCTCTAACGTGAAATGAAAACTTATTTCTAAACGTTTTATTTATTTATTTTAATAAGTCTCTATTGTGACTGTTATCTTCTTTATTCATTAGGAATAAAATTTAGTCAACACGCATTAAGCTCTTATTTATCGGTGACCACTTTGCAACTGTTTGTCTTATTATTTTGAAGATTCATGCCACAAGCAATTTGTCCCTGATGAAGACCTGTATAGTCAATACTATAATACAATCGATAAGTCATAAATGATGGCATTTTCATTTTGGTGTAATACAGGCAAAACAGAAGGGAAAATCCATCATGGACACTCGAGAATGGAAGGCTCGGGTAGTGCTGGACTCTAACCGGCTAAAACCTCTAATTTTGCCTTCAAAATCATTCCCATGTCGTTGAATATTACATTTGAATTTATTTATTTATTTTTATTTTTACCTAATATAAGGGCTATAGATCGGGAGTTATTATTTAATTTTTGCGTAGTCTTACAATCCTAAAGCTTACACATCTATTTTTATTAAGCGTTTCAATTTTTACATAATGGTCTTTTTCAGGTTATATTTCTTATGCTAACACAATTAGTCTAACTATCTAATACAATAGGTGTATATTAGTTAGCTTCTAGTAGAAGACTATAACTATGTATGATAAACTGCATTTAAACTGAAGTAAAACCTCTAACATTTGCATCACCAGGTGGATCGAACTGGACTATCCAATCTACAGCCGGTATATCCAATCCTCTTGCCGCAACATCTGTACAGAATAAAGCTATATTTTTTGTTTCATAGAATATATTGATGGTTGCTGTTCTATCGGTTTGGTTCATTTTACCCTGAAAGCAAATATTACACTGCAATGGCTAAATGTATCAAGGATATCAGAAATCGTTTCGACCTTACTAGGAATATTTTAATAACCGGTTAATGAAATAAACGACAAACAAGAAGATATGATTATGGTTAAAAAAAAACTGTATCAAAATTAGTTATAAGTAACCTACATTTTAATTTATAATTTTAAATAAAAAGAAGAGTAAGTATGTAAGAAGTTCATTTAATGAATTTTAACAAATTATACTGTTTTTTATATTTTCTGTCATCCAAGATACTGATCGTTGGAGAGACGATGAGAGCTAGCACCTTTAAGGGGCAAAAACGAATGGTAGGTGGAATATTCTCATTTCAGAGGTCTTTAATTATCTTAATCAGAGAAGACATTATAACATAAAGGATAAGATGCTAAGCCTGTACGGATGGAGCGATGCGACTATGCCAGTGTTCATATCCCGCTGACACAAATTACTTCCATAATAACTCCATGTAATAAAAACTCAGCCCCGTAAAAATTATAATCTAGTAATTACCATACAATTGAGACAAACCTCAAGTCTCGCGGTGGCGACAATCATGTGATAACTATGGGTGGTTAACAATGAAGAAAAAAATAATTAAAAACCCAGGGAGTTCGTTGGATGGGGAGTCGTTTTTTTTATTGCTTAGATGGATGAACGAGCCCACCTGGTGTTAAATGGTTACTGTAGCCCAAAGAAATCTACAACGTAAAAGCCGCCACCCACCTTGAGATATCAGTTCTGAGATCTCAGTGTAGTTACAACGGCTGCCGCACCCTTCAAACCGAAACGCATTACTGCTTCACGGCAGAAATAGGAAAGGCGGTGGTACCTACCCGTGCGAACTCACAAGACGTTCTACCACCAGTAATTACGCAAATTATAATTTTGCGAGTTTTATTTTTATTACACGATGTTATTCCTTCACCGTGGAAGTCAATCGTGAACATTTGTTAAGTACATATTTCATTAGAAAAAATGGTACCCGCCAGCGGGATTCGAACACGGGTGCATCGCTAGATACCTACGAATGCACCGCATGGACCACATGTTTAGTGGGTAAGGTCCGGAAAACATCCTTGGACCCGCGGTTTCGCAGTCGCGGACCAATCCCACATACCTCGCGGGCCCCCTAGGCGCGGGGACCTTGTAGGAGGTAAGGCTGGGGCCCGAAAAAAAATGGGAGTTAGTTGGTTACTGGTAGCAAAAATGTTTTTAATATCACTCACATGGATACACAAAACGTTCATTTGACAGTATTTGTGAAAGAATTCATAATGGAACACAACAGATTTACAACTCGAAAAAAATACCATAACTTTGAATTGTTTTGTTTTCTTCAGCACCTTATGTAACCACCACAGTCTATACTGGGTTTCACATACAGCATATCTACAAAGGAGAAAACAAATTATTTTAAAGCTTACTACAAACATAAAAATGAATATTATTTATATATAAAATTCATATAAAAAGCCTTTTTTTGTGGACCCTCAAAATAAGTAATTAAGGGCATTACAAATTTAATAAAATATATTAATATAAATGTTGACATTTGGCAACTATATCTATAATTATATTTATAATCACTACTAAACACAATTCATGTTAGATATAGTTTTTCATTTGTCATAGATATGGACGGCACAATAGTACACACATAAACTTGTTTTAAAACACTCAAATGGGAGGTATATGCAGTATACAACGACATGTATTATTAGAATTCTACTAACTGCACTCAAAATTACTGTTTACTAACCCTTGTTTCAAACCTTCCACTGTAGCACACAGGTCATCCTGATCAGTATTGATATGTTGTATCTTGTCTTTTTTCATGGCAGACTCCACTAAAGCATCAGTTCTCTCAGAAAGTGTTGCGCTGAAAAGCATTGTTTGCCTATCCTCTGAAATATGAATGTTGCGATTTCAGTACCCATTTTATTTTTTAACACAGATGGAATTACATAAACTAGTAGTTACTGCAAACATCAACCTCAGTAGTATTAGGAAATTTTTGTTCTTAGGCAGATGTTCGTTCTGGATTGGAACAATAATTATAGGTACAAATGAAACTGACCTCACATTTACAAGACATATTGGGTGGCATTCAATTGTGTTGTCTATTAGCACCCACAATTGCTTAACATCAGGTGGGCTGTGATTTCTGTAGAATTAGAGAAATAAAAACATTATCTGTACTGCACTTCAGGCCTAATGGAGAAGAATACCAGCCCACCTGTAATAAAGAGTTATATTTAGGTGCAACAGGTGTAATTTTTTTTTTATTTTTTTTTATTGCTTAGATGGATGGACGAGCTCACAGCCCACCTGGTGTTAAGTGGTTACTGGAGCCCATAGACATCTACAACGTAAATGCGCCACCCACCTCGAGATATAAGTTCTAAGATCTCAGTACAGTTACAACGGCTACCCCACCCTTCGAACCGAAACGCATTACTGCTTCACAGCGGAAATAGGCGGGGTGGTGGTACCTACCCGTGCGGACTCCCAAGAGGTCCTACCACCAGTGATTACGCAAATTATAATTTTGCTGGTTTGATTTTTATTACACGATGTTATTCCTTCACCGTGGAAGTCAATCGTGAACATTTGTTGAGTACGTATTTCATTAGAAAAATTGGTACCCGCCTGCGGGATTCGAACACCGGTGCATTTATATGCATACGAATGCATTGGAAGTCGTATCCTTTAGGCCACAACGACTTCAAAACTGTTAGGTAGGTAAGTATAGATAAAATGCTGCACATGTAAACAATAAAAAAGTAAAATAAGGTAAAAATACACAGTTACAGTATTTAATATTTACAGGAAATCAATAAAAATTTTACTTACTTGGTAGCCGATTAATTATCTGTTTTAGATCTTCTTCAAAACCATATTGAAATATTTTATCAGCTTCATCCAGTACAAGACATTTGACACATTTGTAATCAAACTCTTTAGTTCTCATGTGATCAAATAATCTACCTGGTGTGGCTACAACAATATGCATACCTAAAATTTTTATATTATTTAAATAAATGTCAACACAGGTAAATTACTTTTAACATTAAAAATCTCATAAACAAGTCTCAATTATAAGTAACATTTCAAAAGATAAATGTTTACTAGTTTTTTAGTCTGTCTTTATTAAAAAAATGTTTCAAAGTTGAAACTGTCACCAATTTCTTACTTTTTTTTTATAGCTTAGATCAAGTTACTTATATAGATACTTATATCAAGTCACATTTTTAATTTGTTACCTGCCTTGAACAAGATCAGAGCTCTGTTTTTTTCTACTCTCTCCACCAATCACTAAAGCTGATGTGATTTTATTATGATGATTGATCAAATCCTGTAAGACTGAAAATGTTTGTATTGCCAGTTCCCTTGTTGGTGCAATTATGATGGAAAATGTACCTAGAATCATTTTTTAACTTTTATTTTGGTTTACACAACAGAAAAAATTATACAACCCAAATGCACTATCCACAGCACAGACATGTGTAGGGTGTTTTTAGTATTAATTAATCAATAGGGTGACTAGTTCATATTTTAATATCTATGAGTTTCAATAAACACATAAGACCTAGTACAGTATTAGTGTATAGGTAAAGTGCAATATAGATGGGTGAATGCCCCACGTATGCAATAAACCATATATAAAAATTGAGGTAATTAGGCAGAGATCAGGCTGTATCCCTAGCATTATCCACAGCTATTAGTAATGATTAAGGAAGAAAACCAAGAGCTGGAGCCTTGTGTTAACTACAAATAGATTATTATTATGTAAAGTAGTCAATAAAACAATTAAATAGAGTGCGCTCAGAAACAGAGTATATAAAACAGCAATGAAAACCATAAAATTAACCAAAATCCTCTCAGGTGTGAGTATTTTACAGAGCAGATGGTTGTGCATAATAAACTGGGAAGCAAGCTTCAAATTGTAGACATTTAATAAAGTATTAAGAAAAAACATTACCGTGCATAGCTTTTTCTATGTTTTTAGCAACTACTTCGATTACAGGTATTAGAAATGCTAATGTTTTTCCTGAGCCTGTTTTTGCTGTCGCCACTATATCGTTACCATCCAGCGCTGATGGTAGGACCTCTGCCTGTATTTCAGTCATCCTTTTGAATCCCATCTCTCTGATTGCATTTAAAGTAGCTGTAGAGAGTTGCTCTTTAAGTTCTTTAAATTTGGGAAGTTTTTTAGATTCCATTTTTTTTTCTTTCCGATAAATCTATTTCATATATCATGAAGGAGGTATGCTACAGTTATACTTAAGTGTATTATCTATAAATTAAGCTAAATAAAAACAGAAATTTATGTTCATCCCTGGAATTTAAAACTTTATTTATTTTTAAATTCATATCACTGCATCAGAGTTCAGCAATTCATAACCTAAAAAAACATCGTTTTTAATTCGTTCATTGTACAGGCAAAGAAAACATTGCTCATATAGCCGATATCTTGAGGATTGCCAGCTGATCAGTGACCGATAGTACGGTTTCCGTCACAGTCGCTCAGCCAGCGATCTTCTTATATGCCTTACTCACAGGTGGGCTGAAGCCTTGGAGAGCAAGGACTCTCGCTGTGAGCCTTGACATCGCGAAGGCCTTCAACAGGGTCTGGCATAGGGCACTTTTGTCGAAGCTAACATCTTACGGAATCATCGAGGGACTCTGCAAGCGGATCGCTAGATTTTTGATGGACAGTGCATCACGATAGTTCTAGACGGTGACTGCTCAGATATAATGACCATTAACGCTGGCATTCCACAAGGTTTGGTGCTCTTCCCCACGCTTTTTATCCTGTATATCAATAACATGTTAACTAATGATGGTATGCATTGCTATCCAGATGATAGCACGGGAGATGCGTGATATATCGGCCATCAGAGTCATTCTCGAAGCGTGGTGCAAGAGAGACGATCTAAACTTGTGTCTGAAGTAGAGAACTCTCTGAGGCGAGTCTCCGAGTGGGGTGAATCAAACTTAGTTCAATTCAACACGTTAAAGACACAAGTTTTCGCGTTCACTGTGAAGAAGGACCCCTTTGTCATGGTGCCGCAATTACAAGGAGTATCCCTACAACCTTCACGAGTATCGGGATACTACTTGGGGTCGACATTTCAAGGGATGTCCAGTTTCGGTGTCATTTGGATGGCAAAGCCAAGTTGGCGTCCAAAATGCTGGGAGTCCTCAACAGAGCGAAGCGATACTTCACGCCTAGACAAAGACTTTTGCTTTATAAAGCACAAGTCCGGCCTCGCACGGAGTACTGCTCCCGCCTATGGGCCGGGGCTCTCAAATACCAGCTATTTCCATTTGACACTCTACAGAAGAGGGCCATTCGGATTGTCGCTGATGTAAACTTCTTACTTGAAACTATCAGTCATAAGTTGATGCCATTGTCAATCTGTTTTATTAGTGTTTTTGTCAATGCATTTAATGCATAGACCTTTAATGTAACCAAAACAATTTTTACTGTTAATTTTAGCTTATTAAAACCTTATATTCATTAAAGGTTTTCTCTTATTACAGTCGAGATAAAATAAAACAATTCACACAACTTTGCTCCTCGCATTGCCGCCAAAAAGTCCCACCAGAGCATAGATAATACATTTAGAGTCATCAAACACTGTCATAGATCATCACTGTCATAAAATAGTTTTATAAACGGTCTATGATTTCTATCCACCGAAATCTTTTAAAACAAATGCCAAAGCCAAGTCTGTTGTACGAAAAGTAAAATGGAAGGGAATAAAATTAACTTTGAAATAATATGAAGTAAGATGAATGAATTGCCATCGAATTAAATTAGATAAAGGATCTTAAGTAGCTGTTGGATGAGACGAGAGAAGACGAGAGAAGAAGAAGGTCATTTATGTCTTTGCGATAGAACTTTGGTGACCTAGATTCTACAAACTGTGTGAAAGCGTTTATATTGCCTCCTGGGAAGAAAACTTTTTATCACGTAGAAAATCGTCCAAATCACGAAAGAAATGGTAGTCCGTTGGACCAAGGTCTGGCGAATACGGAGGGTGACGAATGGTTTCTTGTTGCAGGTCCTGTAAAGTTTAAACGGTTTCTTGTGCTGTATGAGGTCTCGTGTTATCATGGAGCAATAATAGTCAAAGTCGATTCATAAGTTGGGGCTGTTTCACTGCAAGTTTTGCTATCATTGTTCGGAGTTCGGCATAGTAGACATCTGGAAAGATTAGACTGTATGGTATGACATCTTGCCTCTCCAGTTAGAAAAATACATCTACTACTACTGTCAATTTCTATCACTGAAGTAATAAAGGTCTATGGTTTTTTGGTTGTATGGGCTTAGATCCCCTTGCCTTTCCTAATAAGGAAAAATTGTACCAAAAAAAGGTCTATGGTTTCTGTACATGTGTTCGAAGTGCTGTTTTATTTATGTAAAAAAGTAAAGCTACCATGCCGACACCAGATAAAATACTTCTCAGAAAAATAAGAAAACGAGAAAAACGAAAACTGAAACTTACATCTCAAAAAACTGATTCAAATCCTGAACCAGAAAAAGGTAACGAATATAACCTATACGACTAAAAGCGTTTGTCAACATCTTATCTTAATCGTAGTTTTTTAAAGCTAAAGTACCTAATTTGACCTATTCGAAATATATTTAGTTATTCTTCAATTTCTCATTCATAGATATTGAAGCATTAAATAATGAAAAAGAAGCTAAGAAGAGAGTTGTACAAGACGGTGACACAAATGGAAAAGTTCCCAAAAGTAAGTTAGACAGACAGATTAAATTGAGTTTTAAAATTGAATAACGCCAATTTTATAATTTAATAACAATTTACTTGTGTTCAGAAAAATTGAAAAAGGTTAAAGAAGAGTTAAAAGAAGAACCAGTTGAAGTAAAATCTGAGGAAGAATCTAGTGATGACTCTCAAGATGAGCAAGACACTAAAGAAGATGATTCGGAAAAAAAATCGAACAACGATTGTAAGTACTGCATAATCATTTTCTTTTCAAATAACTGTCGTAATCGGAACTAGTGTCAGCTTCGCAGTGGTAAGTAATGGATAACGTGGTTGTGCTCACAGCTGGGCATCTCCCCGAGTAAGCTCTAAATATGCTATAGCCCTACTAAATGCCTACCTAGAGACAACATTTATGTAGAATATTTAATTACTTAAATGCTACTCCTATAAAAAGACAATTACTTGACAGTCAATTGTAATAATAAGAGCTAATTGAAATTGTAATATGTTAAATTAAAAACATTTCAAAACATCATGTGTCATATAAATAAACCATCCAGCATATAGATGCTTGAAAGGCAAACGTGACTAAGAGACAATGCGTGAACTTTACAGTAGACTAATTTAAAGTTGAAATACCTGAAAAAGTTTATATTTTTACAAATCTAGCTGTAGGATTAAAATGATTTTAATAGACCTAGAAATATATATTTTTATCGCATCAAATATGGTTATTGCCTATCATTTATATATAAAGCAGTTATTGTCGCTTAGTCACGTTTGCCTTTCAAGCATCGATATAATTAATCGACTTATGGTTTTCTGGATAATAAACTTTAAAGGGAATTGTAGTTTTTATATGTATGCATAGTTTCATAGAAGCAATAACAAATGTTAACAATAAACTATTTTTCAGTACCTGGATCAAGCCTCTGCTTAGGTATACTATCAGATCAAAAATTCACTGCACTGGAAGGCACAGTGTGCGAACCAACACTTTTAGGAATTAAAGATATGGGCTTTATAACGATGACAGAGATTCAAGCCAAAGCTATACCTCCTTTGTTGGAAGGCAGGGATCTTGTGGGAGCTGCCAAAACTGGCTCTGGAAAAACACTAGCGTTCTTAATACCGGCTATAGACCTTATATACAAACTAAAATTTAAACCAAGAAATGGTAGGTATTTGTATTTAAGTTCAAAAATGTTTATATCTCTGGTGTGATTTATTGAGTTATTCATAATTTTAAAATTTAAATAATCAATTCCATTAAAAAATTACATGTAGTCTTCAACATGCTATATAATGATGATAAAAAGGCGAATATGAATGTTTGACAACCACAGACTTCAAAGGTGTTTGTATGCATTTAAAGATAAATTGAGTCTCTGGTGCAAACTGTCGAGGCACATTTATTTTTAATTAAGTACTAACACTGTGAGTATGTGTTGAGTCAGTACATGAACAGAGAATGGATATCTGAAAATATCTTACAAAGAAAACCAAAGTAAGCATTTGTGGGGTTGCATAAAAAACTAGATATTTTTAGGTACTGGAGTCATCATTTTGTCACCCACAAGAGAGTTATCAATGCAAACATTTGGCGTTCTCATGGAATTGATGAAATACCACCACCATACATATGGTCTGGTAATGGGTGGTGCAAACAGAAGTACTGAAGCTCAGAAACTCTCTAAAGGTAAAAGATAGATTATTTGCAAACTTCTGTAATTTTTATACATATTTATTTACATAACAGAAACAACAAAAAATAGTAATAGAAAAAATATATAAAAGAGCTCATGACTCAACAAAGCAATTAAGAATAGATATGTATACATTTTAAGTTTTCCCTTAAAAATTCATTGAAATTCTAAGGTGTTTTTTTTTATTGCTTAGATTAGTGATTATCAAACTTATTTCTTTTACCGCCCCCTTTGAAAATCAATTATTTTTCAGCGCCCCCCATTTTTTATACACCCCTAAAACTTTAAAACCCCAATTTCATTAATTTAATTAATAAATGTTGTATTAATTTTAGTAAATGTAGTACCACGTAGTACGTATGTATTTGTAGATGCTATTATTGTTTCTTCATATTATTATATGTCCGTACATTGCTACAGAGTGTGTATTTACAAATTTGCAAAGTAAAAATGAATTCTTCTCATCAATATGTTTGCTTAAATTGAGAATTACCAAAATAAATTTCTAGTTCACTGTACTATTACTATGCTAATTTATTAGAACGAAACTATTTTTGTTGAATATCTTTCTCATTAATATAAGATTCTCATCATAAGATAATTAAAAATTTATATTTCGACTAGTAAATAATACTACTAACAATAATAACTTATTAAACTACGACTAAGCTAAACCTGGAAGTCGTAGAGGATTTCATTTATCTGGGCTCCGTCATAGCTAGTAATGGACCCTCCGAAAAGGACCTCAGAAGGCGAATCAGAATGGCAAAGAGAGCTATGTCCCAAATGGACCGTGTTTGGGCGGACAGAAACATCTCGAGGAATACCAAAAAGCAGCTCGTCACCTCCCTTGTCTTTTCCATTTTTCTCTACGGCGCAGAGACTTGGACCCTCAAGAAAGCCGACCGCCAACGCATCGACGCGTTTGAGATGTGGTGCTGGAGGAAAATGCTCGGGATTCGTTGGACAGAACACAGAACCAACGAATCCATTCTTACCGAGCTCAAGATTCCAATGCGCCTCAACACTACATGCGCGCGGAGGAGTTTCGAGATCTTTGGACATATCGCCAGAAAGAGAGGTTACAATCTGGAAAAGCCGCTGGTAACAGGCAAGGTATGCGGGAGAAGGCACAGAGGCAGAACTCCAATGCGCTGGTCGGACCAAATACGCTCCACTCTCAATACCTCAGTCCACGTTGCTATCCACACAGCCGAGGACAGGCAGGAATGGCGCAAGATGTTGCAGGAGGATACGTTATTAGAGGAGGCCACGACCCTCAGCACTGAGGATTATCGACGCAAGAAGGAAGGAAACTACGAAAAATAAATTAATATAATTTCGTATTATAGATAAATATGGGTAATTTTTCACAGAATTTTAGTTTATAATTTAGAACTTATTCAAATAAAAACCGCCGCCTAAGTCAGCGTTTTTATTATTTGTAATAATTAATATCTATACTAATATTATAAAGAGGAATGATTTGTTTGTATTCAATAGGCTCCGAAACTACTAAACCGATTTGAAAGATTCTATCACCGTTTGGAAGCTTCACTATTCCCGAGTGACATCTTTTTTGAAAAAAAAAATAGGTATCCTTGCTAAAACTCCCATAATTTAACCCAAGGTGTAAAAAAAATTACCTAAAATAATCTTTACGTCGCGTGCCCTTCGAAAACTATTGATGATAGAATAAAATAATGTACTACGACTTTGTAAAAAACATTATTATTTACAAAAAGTGTCGTGACAGCATATGTCTAACTATTATAGTTATGCCGCAATAAGTGTTATTTTATTTAAAAAAATGCCCCTGGTAAGACACGGAGCGCCCCCCTACCTTCGCCGACTGGTGGCTTCCTACTTGGAGGACAGATCGGTCACGTGTACTGGACACGGTGGGATCGTGCACAGGTTCCCGGTCGTGCGCGGTGTTTCACAGGGGTCGGTGCTCGGCCCCCTTTTGTGGAATATCGGGTATGACTGGGTACTGAGAGGTGCCCTCCTCCCGGGCCTAAGCGTAATCTGTTACGCAGACGACACGCTGGTCGTGTCCCGGGGGGGAGTTTTGCTGAGTTTGCTCGTCTTGCCACCGGTGGGGGTTGCGCATGTCGTCGCCAAAATCAGGAGATTGGGCCTCGACGTGATACTTAGTAAATCCGAGGCCATGTGGTTCCACAGGCCCCGGAGAGTGCCACCTGTCGATGCCAATATCGTGGTTGGAGGCGTCCGTATCGGGTCGGGGTGCAGTTGAAGTACCTCGGCCTCATTCTGGACAGTCGTTGGACCTTCCGTGTTCACTTTCAGAACCTGGTCCCTCGTTTGTTGGGGGTGGCCGGCACGTTAAGCCGACTTCTTCCCAACATCGGGGGGCCTGACCAGGTGACGCGCCGTCTCTATACGGGGGTGGTGCGGTCAATGGCCTTATACGAGGTGCCCGTGTGACGTGGCGCGTCCCAGCCCCAGTGTGGTCAGAGCGCGGAGGGCCCAATCTCGGCGGTCCGTGCTGGAGTCATCGTCCAGGCGGCTGGTCGATCCTTCGGCTAGTCGTAGGACCGTCGAGGCGATTCATCCGGTTCTTGTGAATTGGGTGAATCGTGACAGAGGACGCCTCACTTTCCGGCTCCCGCAGGTACTTACTGGGCATGGTTGCTTCGGTGAGTTCCTGCACCGGATCGGAGCCGAGCCGACGGCAGAGTGCCACCATTGTGGTTGTGACTTGGACACGGCAGAGCATACGCTCGTCGCCTGCCCCGCATGGTAAGGTAAAATTGCTCTAATTTTTTAACTATCAGCGATCATGTTCCGCAGAAACTTGTTACAACTTGATTGCGTACGGTGTGTGGGCTATCCTACGAAATCTATGTTAATTATTTTAAGTTTTTATAACATCATACAGGGTAGAAATATAAACTAATTATTCGTTATTGTGTAGTAGGTGAGTTTTAATTTTAGTGAAATTTAAAATACTATAAAGTAAATGAAATTACAAATTTTACAGCGCCCCCCTAACCCACATTAACGCCCCCCATTTTTTGCTGGGCCCCTTAACGCCCCCCTCGAGGTTTCAAACGCCCCCAAGGGGGCGTTATCGCCCACTTTGAGAAAGACTGGCTTAGATGGATGGACGAGCTCACAGCCCACATGGTGTTAAATGGTTACTGGAGCCCATAGACATCTACAATGTAAATGCGCCATCCACCTTGAGATATAAGTTCGAAGGTCTCAATTATAGTTACAGTTAATACTGCAGTCTTGATAAACTATCAAATAGGATCTCTAAGATGATATTGTTCCAGTATTTATTGATCATAGCTATAAATAAAAATCGTTATTAAACATTGTGCCTACAGGTATCAACATTTTAGTTGCTACTCCTGGACGTTTACTGGATCACTTGCAAAATACACCAGACTTCTTGTATAAGAACCTTCAGTGCTTAGTTATTGATGAGGCTGACAGGATATTGGAAATTGGATTTGAAGAAGAAGTTAAACAGATCATAAAATTGCTGCCAAGTAAGATTTACTATTTAATCTTCTTCTCTATGGTGTGATAATTATTGCACAGTGTAGATACAGCCCATTGCGTTTCTTGACAGATCTTTTCAGTGGGTCTCAATTCTGATCCAGTGATAGATTTTGGGAAGCACTGCTCTTGCTAGGGATAGCGTTAGCAAAGTGTCTTAGGTTGAGCTGTTGAGCTCACCTACCCATCTGGGTGTAGCTGAAATAGCCCCTTAGACTACCAGCTGACAGCTAGAGAAAAAAATAATATTCATTTCAAAATTGCTAAATTGAAGTATGAAATTTACGGTTGATGTTAATTAGATGAAATTATTTGATTATAAAATAAGAGGCTGCTTAGCAATAGATTTGATTGGTGTAAAGGACTCTTAACATTTTTCAAATTACTCTGGCACTTAAAGGAACATACTCTTATTATGCTAAAGATCCTTTTTGACTCTGAAGATACTACTTGTGATTAGTTTGTTTATAAAATAAAAATAAACGAAAGTTTACTATGCATTTGCAAATATTTACAGAACGCCGGCAAACTATGTTATTCAGTGCTACACAAACAAAGAAGACTGAAGCACTAACTTCTTTGGCATTGAAGCATGAACCGGTGTATGTTGGGGTTGATGACCACAGAGAACAGGCAACTGTTGATAGCTTAGAACAGGGGTAAATAATCATCATGATAAACATAAAATATAAAAATAAAATATTTTAGATGCAATCAACAAATGAAGTTTATGGAACCCTGGTATTCTGATTTCTAGTGTTTGTGTAATACAAACAATTATTGTTTACAAAACCATCCATTTTGCATGCAATAATCATTTAAATAGTATGTTTTTAAAAACTAAAGTTTTGAATATTATTTCAGATATATTGTATGCCCATCAGAGAAACGTATGATGGTTTTATTCACATTCCTTAAGAAGAATAGAAAAAAGAAGGTTATGGTATTCTTTTCAACCTGTATGTCTGTCAAATACCACCATGAACTTTTCAATTATATTGACCTTCCTGTGATGTCCATACATGTGAGTACTTCACCTAAGTCACATATTGTGTTACCAAACTATCAATAATCTCACTAAAGATACCAATCTATAAAATAGAAATTGTTGGTCTTAGTTCTTACATTCTAACCAAAACTGGCTAAGGCAGATTCATTACCTGATAGAATGCAATAATTATTTTATACTTTAATTAAAAATGTGTTCATCTCTCAGTGTATCTTTGAATATGTTTCCAAAAACAAAGACAATAGTGTTGAATACGCGTTTATATATATTATTATATAATTATGTTTAATATATAATTATGTTTAATTTTTTCTTCATGTAGGGAAAACAACAACAAACGAAGCGTACAACAACATTCTTCCAGTTTTGCAATGCTGAATCTGGTATACTACTTTGTACTGATGTCGCGGCGCGTGGTCTGGACATTCCGGCCGTTGATTGGATTGTACAGTATGATCCGCCAGATGATCCAAAGGTAAGGATCCAAAGGTGAGGTGGTAAGACCTCGAGTTCGCGCGGGTAGGTACCACCACCCTGCCTATTTCTACCGTGAAGCAGTTATGTGTTTCGGTTTGAAGGGTAGGGCAGCCGTTGTAACTATGCTTGAGACCTTAGAACTTATATCTCAAAGTGGGTGGCGCATTTACGTCGTAGATATCTATAAGCTCCAGTAACCACTTAACACCAGGTGGGCTGTGTGCTCGTCCACCAATCTAAGCAATAAAAAATAATGCATTTAAGATTTGTCTTCAAATTTGTGTTTACTAATTAAAGCTACATCGTCTTAAAAACCTAAATATTATATATTATATTAGCATTTATATTTATTTATAACCTAAATATTAGTACCATTTAAATTTACTTAAAGAGTCGAGAGAACAAATATATCATTCTACATTATTGTGTTTAGTTTGTGCTTGTATTTAGAAGTCAACAGAGCTTCAGGACCAAAGACATGTGATGTGAATGCCACCATCCCTACTTTAAGACACGGGATTCAAAATCTTTATTGTATTTCAAAACGAGTGTCCTACGCATAAGACATGATTGTTCTACTGTAGAAATAGGCAGTAAGATGATACCCACTTGTGCGATTCATAATATCGAGGTGTGACCGAATATTTGGTTTAAGCGACATTTCACTTAATATGCAACATTTATCTTTGTAATTAAAGGTCTGCTTTATTTGTTTTTATTTTTATTTTGTATTGCATTGATGAGTGGACGAACCCACGGCCCACCCGGTGTTAAGTGGTTATCGGAGCCCATAGACATCTACAACCTTAATGCCGCCATCCACTTTGAGATAATGAGTTCTGAGGTCTCAGTATAGTTACAACGGCTGCCCCACCCCTCAAACCGAAACGCATTACTACTTCACGGCAGAAATAGGCAGGGTGGTGGTACCTACACGCGCGAACTCACAAGAGGCCCTACCTACCATCAGTTCGATGTTTTTAATTGAACATCAATTAAGTTTACTCCATTCAAATAGCTGAAAAAATATATTTATAATGGTATTTTTTCCAAATTTTAAACTTTAAATGGTTCTCCTGTAAAATTGCAAAAATGTCGTTTAAACCATATACCATTCATCCCTTGATAATAATATGATGGTACATTTATCACTACGTACCATCTTTTTTTTCGCTCATTCAATCAAACCAAAAATACGATATTGATCTATGGTTTTCCGACTAAGTAGTAGTAGTAATTTTTCTTTTATTTAAGCCTTTTAGAAAATGTTCTCACATTTTTAAAAATATAATGACATTTATTTATTGTACCTGTTATCCGTGTGTAGGAATATATCCACCGGGTTGGAAGAACTGCGAGGGGTCTAGGAACTAGTGGACATGCTTTGTTATTCTTACGTCCAGAAGAGCTTGGATTCTTACGATACTTAAAGCAGTCGAGAGTTACCCTAAACGAATTTGAATTCTCATGGAATAAAGTTGCAGATATACAACTACAGGTCTGTCTTGTTTTTATTTTTGTTCTTATTTTAATGTATTAAAACATGCTCACAACTCATCCAGTGCTCTTGAGAACAAAAATAGATTTGTATCAGCCTGAAAATGGCCATTGTAGCATCGTTCGATAAGTGTGCATAGGGTGTATTCTTTATGCCACATGATAACTGCAAATTTTAATTTAAAATGTTATCATTTTAATTACTTATTGCTGAATTAATGTAAAGATAAAAGTCTTGACATAAGTCGCTGATATTTGTGTTATTTGTCAAATAATTAATTAATCTTGATTTATCAATTAATTGAATTTGGTATTACAGCTAGAAAAACTTATCTCTCGAAACTATTTCCTGAATCAATCTGCAAAAGAAGCCTTCAAAAGTTACCTGAGAGCCTATGATTCTCATCACTTGAAAACGATTTTTGACATTGATACAATCGATTTAGCTAAGGCATCGAAATCATTTGGTTTCAATGTACCACCTGCTGTAGAACTTAAAGTCGCAAACAAAGGACCTCCACAGAAAAGAAAGGGAGGTGGTGGTTATGGATACTTCAAGTCTTTGAACGCTCCATCAGATTTCAAAAGGAAGACAGAAAAAACGAAAATATACAGACAAAAGGGGAACAATAAGAAAACGATCAGTTGATGTTTAAATCTTTCATCCATTGTTCTCTAATATAATGTATTAAAAAAAATATTCTTCATCTTTCCTTTTACCCAAAACACTAAAATGTATGGCATAGAACCTGAATATCTCGTTCAGTCAGTTTGTATGTGTCAATGCCTGTTTTTATTTCCCGATATTGGGACACGCAAATTATAGGCAGTCAAGCTTCTGCCTACTGTATAATGACTAATATTTAACCAACGATGTGTCTGCCAGACTGTTGCATTATCAAAATTTTGCATTCGAAATCTGGGTATATTAGTTCTCGTCTTCAACAAATCGATGCCTACGACAAAAGAAAACCCTAGGTAAATGTCGAACGTATTAACTTTTAATATACCTATCTAAAAGTCTCTAAATGCAGACTATTATATTGTAATATAAATTGCGAATGTTGAGATGTATGTATGGAGTGCGAGATATGCGTATGTTGCGATGGATGTGTGGAGTAATGAGAATGGATATAATACGGAATGAATATGTTAGAGGAAGTCTGAAAGTGGCACCTGTGACAAAGAAGCTGAGAAGCGCGCGTTTGGGTTGGTATGGATATCTGATGAGACGAAATGAAAATGAGGTTCGTAAGAGAGTGTTAGGTGTGTGAGTGAAAGACTATATGTGTAAGAGGGGAGTGAGCGAAGAAATGGTATATGATAAAGGAGTACGGAAGGAGAAAACATGTTGCGCTGACCCCAGGTAACTGGGAGAAGGGCAGGAGAATGACGATCATGATGTAATATAGATTGCATTACGATTACTCCAAATGAGTTTTCTGCTCCAACACCGTCGTTGTGAAGTTAAACTAAATTAAATTATGAATGAGCATTACAAGTATTGAATTGAAACAGCTATACTTTATTCTTAAAGACATTTTATTTCCCAATGAAATAAATCACATATCACAGATTCTCAAAGTCATAGACCTGTATTGCCGCTCCGATACCTTCATTTAGAACGTACTGAAATAATATGTAAGGAATCACTGTTTATCTAGAAAATGTTAAAAATAGAATACTATCAAAATACTTTAAAAGGCAATTATCATTTTACGTTAGTGTAATGTTCCGATAACTATGTATTTTATGTTAATCTTCTAACACTCAATTTGGTAAAACGACTTTATTTTATAAATTCTATCAACCCAAGGTAAATGCCAAAAAAGGATACAGAAATCGACATGAGGCGTTTCATCAAATCCAAAAGCTTTTGATGCCAACTGTAGATCCAGATTTTTGATATTAAAAATACTCTTCAGTGGATGATTTTTATAACAACGTAAAAACGAAAGAAAAGCTTTTCTCGCCAAAACTTTCATAACTCCGTTCTCTTTTATTAGTTTTTGAAGCTGAAAAATAACAAAATATTTAAGTTGTTTTGTTTCAAACGCGTTATCGTTATACGCTCTTCGTCCAGTGGTATCGAGCTTGCATCAGTTAGGTGCAGGTTCGAGACGATTGTTAAGAATTATGACTTTGATTAGACGTTAGTATACCAGAGCTCACCTGTGATACTTTGCCCATCATGAATGTGTTGCAAAAACAACTTAGTATGTAAAAAAACGTTTACTGCCTTTATGCCAACTTAAAAAGAGATTCTCAGGGGTTCTCAATAAACCCATTATTCTGTCTATCATTTCGTTTATTCCAGCCAATTTTTAATATATATTTGAATTTTGATATGTTTCTGTGCTAAATTGTTTAGTTCAAATTGTTTTGGTGAGATAGTATTTTTAATTAAAGTGTTAACAACATCTATATCGAAATTATTATACTTTATATTAATGAACTGATAAGAAATATGAAATATTAAAAAGTTCCACGTGGCAAACAAATTAATACTAATCTAAAACGTTTTATCCTGTACTAAGCGATAATTATTTGATTACTGCCCGGCTTAGTAGCACCCTTTTTTTTCTACCTATGCTGATAACCTTGAGAGGCTATTTCAGCTTCTCCTTGACGTCTGTAGGTGAGCTCACGGGGCTCAAACTGGGTGTGTTGCTAACACTGGCCCTAGCAAGAGCAGTGCTTCGCAGAATCTACCACCGGATCGGAAACGCGACCCACTGAGAAGATCGGCCGAGAAACTCAGTGGGTTAATTTCCTCGCCGCAAGCGACGGTGACCGGTGCTTGAGGTTAGCATCACCCTGCATACCTCGTTACATATACATTTGTGTGATGATTGGTGATAGCGCGTATTGTAAGGACGCACGAATGGTTACTGTCATATAGATACATAAGAATATGTATATGTTACGGTAAAAAATTACAACTTTTCTTAAAACATGAAGGTAAGAGTATACATTTACCAAAACGTGAAGGCAAGAATACACATTTGCCGGTAAATGTACATATACATTATATTCAGTTCACATAAACCTAACTTTTTGGCAAATTTGCACATTTACCGGTAAAAGTGTACATTTCCCAAGAGTGTACATTTACCGTAACATATACACCGACAATTCATTAATCTATTAACTTACAAATTCTTGTATGTCTGCCGGGGGATCGCCAAAAGTGTATTTATCTAAATAAACTTTTTCGTTCTCTAAGAACTTCACGAATTCCTCTTCCTCTGGTCTAAGTAATATCACTGCATTGCCTTTGCTGTTCATACCTCGGGCGGTACGTCCAACTCTATGTATGTACTCCTAAAAAAAAGTCAAGTCTATACTTGATACCCCAAATGGTAGCAAACAATTCTTATTGGTATCCCATTGCCTCCACGATTATTCGTGTACTTCGCATTTTTTTTATTGCTTAGATGGCTGGACGAGCTCACAGGCCACCTGGTGTTAAGTGGTTACTGGAGGCCATAGACATTTACAACGTAAATGCGCCACCCACCTTGAGATATAAGTTCTAAGGTCTCAAGTATAGTTACAACGGCTGCCCCCATCCTTCAAACCGAAACGTATTACTGCTTCACGACAGAAATAGGCAGGGTGGTGGTACCCACCCTGCCTATTGCCTATGGACAAGAGGTCCTACCACCAGTAATTACGCAAATTATAATTTTGCGGGTTTGATTTTTATTGCACGATGTTATTCCTTCTCCGTGGAAGTGAATCGTGAACATTCAAAAATGTTTTCATGATATCTCACCTTAGGGTCAGTGGGAGGGTCGTATTGGACAATCCAATCGACGCTCGGTATGTCCAGTCCTCTCGCGGCGACATCGGTACAGAACAACGCACCGTTTTGTGCTTCCACGAAACCGTGATAGGCTTCTTTTCTTTTGGCCTGGCTTTGTCTGCCCTGCAGCGACACGAGTTTGCAAATAGAACAAAAAGTATACATTTTGTATTACAACTCAATAAAAAAAGTACTTATTCATTAATTCATATGCTTTTATTAGTTTCAGACGTATGTATGTTTGTAACGGACTCTTTGAACATGATTTTGACCCCCTTCAAAACGTCGGATTAACTCGAAATTTGGTATACTTATTAAGGACCGATGCCTATTCAATATTTAAAAAAAAAATAAAAAAAAATAACTTCAACTAAAAAATGAAAAATAAATAATAATTTAAAAAAACTAACAAAATACGCTTTTATAGAAAATCCAACTAAAAAATAGAAAATAAATTTTAATAAATTTGAATTAAAAATAGTGTACTTCTACTCATATCTGTTCATAAAATATTTATAACTACTGATACCATGCACCCCACGCTTTTTTTACATAAAATCATTTTTTCTTGTACTATTTTTAATTGAAATTCATTATAATTTATTTTCTATTTTTTTGTTGAATTTTATATAAAAGCGTATTTTGTTAATTTTTTTAAAACTAATTTATTTTGTATTACAACTCCATGAGACTACACGCTTCACAAGTCACTACGTATTGAAAGGTAGACACGACAACATAAATTTTGAGATATGAGGTCGAATTCCGAACTATAAACGATTAGCGACTACCCTACACTTCAGAATGAAATGCATTACTATTTCGCGGTAGAAATGGCTGCAAAAAAATGGTATTGAGCTGAAAATTCCAGCGTAAATTAACCTATAAAGGTTTGATTTGCATCAAGGAATTGGTAAACACGTGTTATATACATTTTGACTTCGAAACGGTCTGAAACGGAACTCTCTGAGGTCGTATTCGCGCGCACCAATTAAGGCCACGGACGTTTTATTGTAATAAAATTATCAATTCCAATAATTCAATATTTTTTTTATCGATTCCAAATCGTCAAACGTAATTATCTATTTATCTACAAATATAGGTATTAGTAGTAAACAGTATAAAACAGTTATAGATACGAAACCTTTAAAAGAACAATACCCAAAACTTTTTTACGTTTGAATTACTACGAAAATATCATTAATACAACATGTAATCCTATTACAATGAACACTGTAGATAAAAAAATTAGATTAACAAGATAAACAACAGTAGGACTGTCCCGTGTTACTTACGTGTATACTAGAGACGATTGCCTTACAATTCACTCTAAAGAATTCATAATGAAAATCGACCGATTTACACGATGAGAAAAACACCATGACTTTCAGTTTCTTGCACTTCTTCAGCATCTTGTACAACCAAGCCATTCTTTTTTCTACTGGGCAAATGTAGTACCTAAAACATAGACACTAGTGTTCTGGTACTGCCCTGACATATTTGAATCATTTTTCGGATTCTTTAAATAAATAAAAAGTATTATTATTATTAAAACTGTTTTTACGGTTTAATCTCGCGTTTATTATTTGTAAATTTCATTATTTCTGAAGTTTCGAATACTTTTTTTTTATTGCTTAGATGGGTGGACGAGCTAAGAGCCCACCTGATGTTAAGTGGTTACTGGAGCCCATAGACATCTACAACGTAAATGGACCCACCTTGAGATATAAGTTCTAAGATCTCAGTATAGTTACAACGGCTGCCCCATCCTTCAAACCAAAACGCATTATTGCTTCACGGCAGAAATAGGCAGGGTGGTGGTACCTACCCGTGCGGACTCACAAGAGGTCCTATCACCAGTGAAGAATAATACACAGTAGAAAGAGTAATCACTGATACTACATCCGTGATTACTGACAATTGAAGTATGTAAACTTTAGAAATAACATGAAATAACACAATCGATATTAAGCCGTAAATTAGATTTAATTGTCTCTAGGACTTATTACTTTAGAAAATATTACTCATCAACGAATCAATCTTGGTAACAGAAAGACAATTTGTATAATTATCCTGATATTAAAAACAGGTCAGTGATGTGTTGTCGAGTGTCCGCACGGGTCGATATTACGGTTCTTAATGTTCTTATATATTCTACCAAACAGCAATGTACTCAAATGTTTAATCACTCGAGGTAGAGGGCATTGGTAAGTCAGCATGTGCAGACAGCATACAGGGCCGCGCCTACCCCCGGCAGCACCTGTGTGCGAAACCCATGAAGCGCCTCCTATTTTTACGAATCTTCATTTTTCAATGTTTGTTTTTTTATTATTTGTTAATTTTGACATAATGTATTGACGTAAATCTTGGGATGCAGGCTTTTTATTTATTTATTTTTTATTGTCCTTGTAGGCAGACGAGCATACGGCCCCCCTGATGGGGAGTGGTTACCGTCGCCCATGGACTTCAGCAATGCCAGGGGCAGAGCCAAGCCGCTGCCTACCGCATACCTACATGCTTGTACTATAAATGCATGATATGTTTTGTTATTTACAAGTTATATGTTGTGCCTATTTTACCTACTTACTTACTCCACTACAAAGAATTTGTGGTTGTGTAAGTGTAACAAATAATTTCAGTGGCAGGTTATTGTCTTGGCGCCTTGTGCACCGCACACTTCGCACACAGGGGCGGCGCGGCCCTGACAGCATATCTCTGCCGCCAAACTGTCGTGCATTCTGGTTTGAAAGGTCGGACAATCGTTATATTTAATGAAAACTTTGACCACGAGGATCATGATACGACGTGAGCCACAAGTTGGATGGCGGCATTTACGTTGTGACGCCTATGAACTGCGGTACCCACTTGAAACCTAATCGCTTGGGAGCTCGATCACGCATCAATGCAATTACGGTTTATGGGATAAAACTTATCCCAAGTAAATTTAGCCGGCTCTAATTACCGCTGACTGAACATTAGATGATGATAAGTAAACTATCAACGTCGTAAACAAAAAGCTTTTTACATGAAAAATAAAAAAGAGGTTACCCCTGTTGCAATCCAGAGACAGTGGACCGCTTTGCGTCATCATCAACAGTTATCCAGATCGGATCGCTCCTCAACGCCAGTCTAGCTAGATTCTTAACTCTATCATCAATCGTTGCACTAAAAAGAACGGTTTGTTTATCATCTAAAAAAATATGAACATTCAATTTCACAAAGCCTCGCAACAGTTTCGGACTGCACGCTTAATTTCTAGTCTGCTTTGTTTAGGTGTAGACTGTTTCAAATATCACACACGTGTAAAGTTTCGCTACTGATGACGATAAATGAAATGTCGCTTATGGAAAGTCGAAGTTTCAACTGCCCTGGGTATTTTGGCCAGACCCGGAAGCGCATTGCCTGGAGGGCGGTCGTCGGGAGCATGGGCGACCTAACAGGTCCTACTGCACATACAGCGTCAGCGCAACCACGACCACTCTGACAAGAGTGTCCGACTGAGAAGAGGGTATTTTGAATGCAGAAATAGGTGCAGCTGTGGTACCAAACAGCACGCTACAATAGAATGAAATCTAGGCGAAATTTATATAAGAAAATAATATGACGATATTACTGACTACTGCCATTTGTTGTCCTTGTTATTCCCGTTTGGTGAATCTAGCATGACCCCTCGAGGTCACTAGAACAGTTAGGAAAAAAAAAGTATATCAATGCTACATTTTACATACAACGCTGCATTGTAATGCGCTGACATACTTAACGATAACCATGAGTAATTTACGCCTCTCCAGCACACTATGACGTCAACGATCACTATATAAGCGGACGCATCCCGCCAGTTATGGGCACGGCTCTTGCTAGGGCTAGGGCTAGTAACGTCTTCAGGTTAGAGCCCCGTGAGCTCACCTACTCGCCTGCAGAATCTAGTATAGCCCTTCGAGGTTACTAGGATAGGTAGGATTTTAAGAAAACAGTGATGGGATTCGATAGCTAGACGTCAACGAGTGCAATAGCACCGCAGTCCACTCGTTTGTCCTCAAAAAAAGCATTAGTTAGGAGGTTAAGGAACGCGATAGCCCCGCACTTCGTTCTAAGAACTAGCCTTAGATATTTGTATTGTTACCTAAATATTCACGTATCCGTTTTTTTTTTTTCCTACCTAAGCTGGTAGCCTAGAGAGGCTATTCCAGCGTAACCGTAACTAGTAGGTGAGATAACGGGGCTCAAACCTGACGACGATGCTAACACGAACCCTAGCAAGAGTCGTGCTTCGCAGAATCTACCACCGGATCGGAAACGCGACCCACTGAGAAGATCCGGCGAGAAACTCAGTGAGCTGTGTCTGAGAGTTAATTTACTCGTCGAGCCCTTCGTCGCAAGTGACGGGTTCGACGAGAACGGTGACCCGTGCTTGAAGTACCTAGAAGCACCGTTAGTGGATCGGGAGGATCTGAGATGACGTGTTTTGGGCGACGTCGACTGCTTTCCATTCTGTCCGCAGGATCGGGAATGTAGTTACCGGCGGCCACGATGAGCGGGTTCTCGTGTCGTGCCGCTTTATCGAAGTTTTTTTGTATAATTTGATATGTGAATGAGTAAAGTCCCTGTTTAATCAGACATCAACGATTTTAATTCCTCTGACAACATCATAAATGTAATTATAATTTATTTGTTGTCTCCTAAAGATAAATTAGATCAATCTCATTGGCCGTGGAAAAATGGCTGTCGAGAAGAAACGGTATGTTCATGATCCTAATTTATTACTTAAAAAATAGTTATGAGTCCCGTCAGAATGGATCCATGGAATAGACAGTATTTTGCACCACATAAACAGACTACAGACGTTAGTTAAGATTCATATAGTTATTTGTATTTTATTACAAACACTCGTACAATGATTTTATATCTACTGGTAAAAAATTTAAGATTAACTACATATACTATCTGAAAATACTATCTAAGAGAATAATCTCTGACATAGATATGGTCCAAATCATGCTTTGGTTACTTGAAAGATGCTGTTAGATTATGACGTGGATATTTTGCATGTGTTTAGACATAAGACACATGGGGTACATTTCAATAGGGACGAAGGAAAGAATTATATACGAGTAAAAAGTTATGTTTTTAACACACATTTTATTAATTGACTCTGACTATCTCAAAGGTTACTCTTTGTAAGCAAATAAGTTAATGAGCTTCAAGAATTCCGATAAAGTTGAAAATTTGTTCCCGCATCAAGGACCGTCGTCAATGTAAGTAAGTATGTATGCAATAACGTAATGTGCAATACGTTGGTATTGCATTAATACCTAATATCCTATTATTCTAATATTCTAATATTTTAATATCCTAATATCCTATAATGACCTAATATCCTGACCAGGATCAGCAAAACGTTTTTATATTAAATTCTATTAAAGCGTTTTATTAGTTTTAGTAGTTAATAATTTACACATCGAAATCTCATTAATACGAAAATACATTTACGAACGAAAAAAATCTGGATATTTGATGTTTTAATAAAAATATTCTTAACTCGGATAAGTTCTAAAACTTAAGGGGCGGGATTCCGCCGTTAGAATGAACGTTGATAAAATACAAGATAACAAAGATTATTTTGTCACACTACACAAAACAATTTTTTAGAAGTTTAGAAGCAATCTCACCAACATTTTAATAATAAAAAATTACTATTGATATTTTAACAAAATTCATAATTTCAACGAACTTATAATCCGCTACCACCCGCATTGGTACAGGAGATTGACGTCTCAATTTTATTCCAGAACGGATGTCCGACCTATTAAATCTATTAATCCGGAACTCATTATTGATTCGCAGCAGATATTGGCAGGATTATGGTACCCGATCCGATCAAAATACGCTTTACCCTGAGTAGGTTGTACGTAAATGATGAATTTTGCGGGTGTTATTTTTATTATACGACTAGTCGAACTCGCCCGCTTCGCTGCGCATTTAAAATTAACATTATTATTAGGGAATCCAACACTCATATCAATATTAGCCTATCCATTAAATACAAGTAATTTTCTAAATGGATACCAAGTTTCAAGTCAATCGGATGCATGGTTCAGTAGTTATAACGGAACATCCGTAAAAACCACTGTAGATTTATATATTAGTATAGATTTACTTTAGACTTAAGTAGCTACGAAATGTCATGAACACTTATATTTGCAATTATTTTTTACAATCGCATTTAGTCTACACGTAAACCAATATACGAATGTAATTATTGTACCTAGTTCAACCATAAGTTCTCTTACAAATGAAAATGCATTTTTTTAATGAAGTAATGTAATATTATTAAAATTTATACCTACATATTTATTAAAGTCTCAGCAAAAATAAAAAATTCTATTCGAAATGGCCACATATGGTTTAACAGGCCTTTAATCTATTTGGTCAAGAATCTATGGATTTACGCACTGTTTCCAAGGGAAATTTCGCCACTGCTTGCTCCAAAGATTTTTTAAGAGAGTGAATGTCGCCGTGTCGTTTAGAGCAGGCCATGTCCTCTAAAACTGACCATAATTTGAAGTCTAAAGGGTTGAGATCTGGGCTAGATGAGGGCCAGTCTTCAGCTGTTATATAGTCCGGAACGGTGCTGTTGTTTCAGGCAGGTAGACAGCGACTTGGCTCTGCCCTTGGCGTTGCTGACGTCCATGAGCGACGGTAACCACTTTCCATCAGGTGGGCCGTATGCTCGTCTGCCTACAAAGGCAATAAAAAAAACCACTTTGTGCAAGGCGATCACTGAAATCCTATTTTCTATAACACCCCATTCCATATTGTAATTTGATAATGCAAACGAAAAAATATGAAAAATGGCGCAAAATCGAAAGAAGTTTTTAAAATATTATACGTGTTCCAAATTCAAAATATGTAATTAAAAAGTTGAAAAAAAGAAAAGTTTTTATGTAGATAACAGTATTTATGGCCAGACTAGTTATAAACTATCAGCGAGGTTATTAATGTGTGTAATTTGACACCGCTAACCTATTCGGGTTTTTTTGCAAGAATCGTTTAAGTCTAAACACACATTATCGAAGAGTAAACAAATGTGTGTTTTTACTTGCATATTTATCACGCTCTCAAAGGTCGTAGGTTCGAGATATCATATTTTTAATGTACTTTAGGATGAGTGTTTATGGTCGTTCACTGATTTCATTATCATCTGAATAACAATTTTATCATTAATAGCATGTGATGAGCAATCTGCCTAAACTTTCATAAATATTAACTTTTTATTAATGTAAAGGCACATACGGCAGTGTGCTATCCTGTGAGGTCTCCCTCTTATTTGAACTGAACTTATCAAGGACTCACGGAAACACTTTTAGAACACGATTATGTTCGTTTTTCCCCTCCGGGCGTAGTTGGAAATTGACCCTTATGACTATACCAGTGAATAGGTTCGTTTTTCTGGGATGGAGAGCTCAAGCTCTTTAGGTGCATTTGAGCATATATATTACTATACCAACCACCTTTCTATGACTAACATAGTTTCTATGAGGTAGAAAGAGGCTGATGAAATATACAAAAAACATGTACTTACTTGGAAGTTTTTCCAGTATTCCATTTACATGCTTTTCAAAGCCAGATTCTAACAGTTTATCAGCTTCATCAATTATAAGACATTTCAGATTTTTGCAATTAAATGTGTTTGTGGTTTGTAAATGATCAAGAAGTCTTCCCGGAGTACTCACTACAATATTCATGCCTAAAATTAAATAAAAATTGAGAGAAGCATTTTGGACACGTGTATGTGCGTTTTTATTAGAAAAATTGGTATGTACCTCCCTGCAGAATTTCAAAACAGGCATTTCCTCATTTGCATATTTGAATCATTCAATATAGGTTTGGTATCTTATCCTTTAAAACACAATTTGTTTACTACTTTATGAAATATGAAATGGTTATATTGTTCATGGTTATTTATCTACATATTTTATTTCAAAACATTTAAGGGTTAATGCTTTTGCATTAATGTTCTGAGTAATAATCAGTTGACATTTTTGTGTACGACTTTAATAGATTCATAACATAGGGTGGACTAATAGCTCAGCTCATATTCAAAAATATTAAAAATGTCAACCAATATACTTATTTTACATCTGAACGACTTTTTCATGTATTTCTATTATTCTAGAAATAAGAAATCTTTACACACCTTTTTGTAGCTTGGACACATCCTTATTTTTTTTCTCACCTCCAACAATCAAGCAATGTGAAATATCAATATCTGTTAAGAGTCTCTTTAGTACTTCAAATGTCTGCAGAGCTAATTCTCTTGTTGGAGATAGAATGATGCAACCTGTACCTAAAATTCACTTAGCCGATGAAGTTTAATATGCTATGGGATTGTTTTACACTTTTTAATTTAAGTAAATAGTGACAACAGCATTAGCACCAAGCATCTCCTTTCTGAACTATTGTTTATTTTCTCATTAAATAATAGCCGTATAGGCTCACAGTTGTTAGTATTCAAAATGTAAAATTGTAGTCATGAAAATGAGGTTTGGATTTTATTTTACTTATTATTTTTGTTTTCAAGAAAACCATTAGCTATCCATAGTTATGTTTAAAGATTGTATATAGCTAAGAAGATACCAAGGATAATCAAATTATACATAGCAAGTAGTAAAAAAGAATTGATGCATAACAAAAAAAATATGTAAATATTATAGTACTAACATTATAAAATGTAAAAGTTTATATATTTCGATGTCTGTTACCTAATCACTTAAAAAGACTAAAAAAAATTGGATAAAATTTAGCTAGTTTTTTTTTTATTGCATAGATGAGTGGACGAGCTCCCAGCCCATCTGGTGTTAAGTGGTTACTGGAGCCCATAGACATTCACAACGTAAATGCGCAGTCCACCTTGTAAGGATAGTTTATAACCTGTGTTATAATAACATGGATACTATTTATCATGGTAAATAATATGACCAAAGCAACAGTGGGTATTTCTGCTGTAATAAATATGAACATATTATTTACTGGTTTGCTATATACTACTGGGCATATCTAGTACTACATAAAGACATTAATAATAAAATGCAAATGCAAATGAAACAGTAAATGAAAGGATGAAGGATACTACTACTACATATGAATGAGAGGGAAGTAACAAAATCCTTTTCATCCCCAGGCCCAGGAAAGGTAAAATAGTACTTTTATCATAAGCTTTATCTACCTTCCGAAATACCTTCCCAAATAACTATTGATTAAATATAATTCCACTTACCATGTTTTAGTGTAAATCCAAGTTTAATAAGTTGATCTACAGCAGGTATTAAGAAAGCTAAAGTTTTTCCACTTCCTGTTTTAGCTGCACCTATAAGGTCCTTCTGTTGTAATAAATAGGGCATTGCCTGAGCTTGGATACGTGTAGGTCTTTGAAACCCCATTTGTCTTAACGTAGAAAGAATTCTACAGTCGATTTTACCTTTGAGCATGGAAAATGTACACTTAGGATAAATATCGTTAGCGCTCATTTTTTTTCAATTAACAATTGTTGCTGAATTTTAATTTATGTATTAAGTAACAAAACAATATTTATGTCGATTTTAGACATCGAATTTGTAAAATAATGTAAAGTAACCTATATTTTTTCTTAAAATATATTAGTGATAATCTATGGTTTACACTATATCATAGATGGTAAACTAGAATAGATCCATAGGACCTATCATACCATTTTGAATGCTATTGTACGAAACTAAGTCTTTAAATCATTTATTACTGGTGGTAGGACCTCTTGTGAGTCCGCGCGGGTAGGTACCACCGCCCTGCCTATTTCTGCCGTGAAGCAGTAATGCGTTTCGGTTTGAAGGGTAGGGCAGCCGTTGTAACACTGAGACCTTAGAACTTATATCTCAAGGTGGGTGGCGCATTTACGTTGTAGATGTCTATGGGCTCCAGTAACCGCTTAACACCAGCTCGTCCAGCCATCTAATCAATAAATAAATAAAAAAGGCGGCCTATGGAGCAGGTAGCTTTATATGTACAAGTACCTACTTAAAGTTTATTTGTCAGTGTAAGTGTGCTTCTACAGAGTGTGCTGCAACGGCTCCCGGAAACTGTGACTGCCAGGTGGTATAATACTAACGTAAAGTCTAAAGCTTTAATAGCAGTACTGCTGATTTCTGACCGAAAAATCACTCACGATTAGTACTCCAATCTAGGATTCCCTGTACTATTGGAACCAGTGTGCATAATGCGACTTTTGAACGTTCTCAATAGCAATATAACTCAAATTTGTATGCAGTTGGAACAGCGCCCCTAGCTAACTAGCTACAAGCATAAGCAAACATTCCAACTCCATACAATTTTACATTAACATATAAGCTACCGAGAATGTTCAAAAACTCGCACTAAACACACATATATTATCCTTTTTTTTGTTTCTTTACCTCATCGTTGATAGCCTAAGGGACTATTCCAACTTCGCGGAGATCGCTAGGTGAGCTCACGAGATCAACCTGTTGTGGGATATGGGAAGTGTGGTGGTGTCAGATTGCAGTCAGCTGGGCTAACTACTATAATTAAAAAGAAATTCGAGCAGGGCACCTCATATTATGTATCCGCGTCTAGGGGGCACGCGGGATACATGGAACTTGACTATCTGCTGATGTTGGGAGCAAATCGCGGGCCCAAAGATGTTTTTAGGACCATACCTAAGAAACGAATCCTCTTGCACTCTCTGACCCGACGTCCTATCTCCGCTTCCCGCAGTCAACACTATAACTAGACTCGCGGCGCCACCCCGAGGACGCCCGACCGACGGGTCGTCAACGACCAACAACGACATTCTCACTGGCGTTGCCATTGGTGCTAATGTGCGGCGCAGTCACGACCCCCTCAGGTTGAGGAGCACTAGCAAATGCATCAAAGAGTCAGTCAATGTGACACTAAAAATATTAAAATTTAATTTTTTTAATGTTTTTGCATTGGTCGCAATTTAACAATTAACGACTGGTTATGGGAAACAACGGTTTTTTGGGAATGAAAGAGCGACTACCAGTGGCTTTCGCTTTAAATTGCATATTAATACCTATATTAATAATACTAACCTTTATGTATATATCCTATATACTGATTTACTACGCTTTTCGTGAAGAATGTGAGAAAATATACTGTGTACTAGCCAATAAGATTTTAGTAACTGAAAGGCAGCGCATGCCGTTAACCGTAATCAATTTTAATAGGGCATAAATACTAAAAGTACCAATAATAGATCAGATATCACCAGCGCCCTCTGTTGCGAAAATACCTGCTATTTAGATTAAAAGATCTTACTGTAAAAGTGTATGGCCACTCATGATGCAACAAGAACTACCAATCTCTAGCTACTACTACGATGTCTGATGGCTAGGGCAGCTTTATTACAATACTATTCCAACATTCAGTTCATGCTAGTTAGTTGCCACATTAAAATTTTTTTTTTTAATTAACCACTATTAGGCGGACTGAGCTTTTTAACACATCCACTACAGAGAATACATTTACTGTTTAAGGTTCAATTCCATTAAATAAGCAAGTGGTTGTTCAATTTTGATGGTTAAGATAGTAGCCAAATTGAAGCAAGCAACTTTATATTTGTTCAATTCTAGGTAATGACATTGACACTGTGGTGTTATCTATTTTTATCGGCCTTAATTGAGAGTAAAGCAAAATGTTATACTTTTATCTTTTGAATAGTAGCCTGCCATTAATTTAAAAACAATATATAAACACACCAAAACAATAAATTTATTGAAATAGTGATCACATTATGTTCATTATGCCATTATATTATTTGAAACTAAAACAGCCTTGCATTTGAGGAATGTAAAAATAATGATTTATACACCGGAGTCTTGACTCCCAAAATCTTTAACTTAGGTATAACTATGTAGATTGTGAAAATGATTACAACATTTAGAACATTAAAATATGATTTTCTTTTTAATAATTTTTTTCTACTTAAACTACTTGAGTTACTCTAGTTTCTTTTGATCAAAATGAAAAGAAAACATTCATAATTAATTGTAATGCCAGTTAACATTTCACCTAATGAAAATTACAACTTTTCACAAATATTCCGTGTTAAACACAAAAAAAAGTGAGAAATGCACTGAAAACATATAAACTATTTAATAATAAATTAAAGTTCATCATGTGATGTATGCTCTTGTGATGTGCTAGAATCATCACACGCAGCAGGAGTGCTTAATTCCATTTTGTATTCACAACGGAAAGGTTCAGTTACTGATGTGATCTTTGTTTCCAAGTCACAGTTGACATTAACAGTTGTTGTTCGACTTGGACCATTCCAGCAAGCAATTCCATTTGTGTATTTCATCACAGAGTATTTATTGTTTTCAGGACCTGCCCATTCTCCCCAATTACCAAGACCTACCTCCATACCACCATTCTTGGATTTTTGTGTTACCTTCTGGAACATACACAGTTTGTATACATATTCTTTGTCTTCATATTCAAAGCAATCACCATCCAAGGAAGCAAATTCCTGTTCTAGACCATAATCCTTTTCTAAGTTCTGTTTTATGTTTCTAATGTTAGACTCTATTTCTCTAACAGTTCGCTCAGCATCTGTGTATTGCGTGCGAGCTTCTGAAGCCTGATCAACAATTTTTTGAGTCTCATCATTATATGATTTTGACTGCTCTGACACAGTCTCATCTTCTTCATGTTCTTCTTGTAAATCTAAATCGCTATTATCTTCTTCATTTCCTTCAAAATCAGCATCCAATTCTTCATGGTTTTCTTCAGCTTCTGTCTCCGTGGTATCTGTTTTAGCATCCTCTGGTTTAAACATACCTTGCTCCATCATCAAAAGTGGTTTTAAGATAGGCCAAGTTGTGGACAAGAATGCATCTTTATCTACTTTTTCATCACCACCCAAGAACATCTTTACTTCATCATCATCAACTTGGCCATCCTTGTTCCTATCAAATACATTAACAACTTTGATTTCATCTACACTTAACTCTCCATCATTATTTGAATCAAATCTATTAAAGTGTTCCGTTGATTCTTTTAAATTAGTTTCTTTCTCTTGGTCTAATTTCTTTTGTTTTTCCAATTCTTCTGCTTCTCTATATACTTTCAAAACCTCATTTTCTTTCATTTCTAGATCATTCTTTAGAAGCTCTTTTTCAGCCTTTATTTTTTCTGCTTCAGATTTGTCTTTTTCAAGTTGTGTTAGTTGTTCTGCCATTTCATTTCGCTTCTTATTTCCTTTTTCTATGAGGTCTATTCTCAATTGGCTGCCTGCTTTATGCAACTCTGCTACTCTTTGAGCTTCTGCTCGGGCTTCTTTTCCGAGCTCTTCACAAATGTTAGTACAGGCCGTAGGATTAGCGTATTCATCTGTTCCATCACAGCAATCACAGACTCCGTCATTAACCCTGGAACTCGGCAAATTCTGAGGCCGGTGTCCGGCATTTGTACAATGGAAAACACCGTTTATACAAGCCGATGTACCGGGTTCATCGCTACCGTCGAAACAATCACAGTAGTCGTCATTAACGTAGCTGAAAGGTATTGTAGCAGTTCCATCAAAACAAGTAAAATCTTTTGTCGGTAAATAGAGAGATGCTTTAGACAAAGATACACCGCGGGGTCTAGGCACATCGGACTGGGCAAATATGATGACGGAACAAAATATTACGAAATAGGAGGAAAATCGGTCGATCCATGTTTTACAGACCATGGTTATAGTTTAATTAACCATAAACGAAATACCGGTCACTTAGAAATTCGCGACTTTTAGAATTATCAAACGTGTAGATATTTCGAAAAATGACAGCGCTGACGTGAAGCAGTGTTGTGCAGAGCCAAGTTACTCGATAAGGCTTGAATGCCGACTCGAATACGCTGTATGTACTAATGTACATAAGTATATGTAATTAGAGTTAAATATATTGCTTTTACATAGTAGGTAGTTGATGAGAAGGCAATTTGTTCTTTCATTATAAACCTAACAGTGTCTGAAAATTACCCCTCAATTATTTGTTTGGGTTTGCGATAAGAGTATAAGTTTCAACTTTAATTCACCTGGAAAGTAAATTAACTTTAATACAGGACATGTCACATCAATTATATTTTGTTAGTTTCATGTGATTAAATCATATAAGTTGAATATTGGTAAGTATCACAGTTACGTAAACCTGTCTACAACATTAAAAATGCTATCTAGTAAGGGTGGTACCGATATATAAGAATTCACTAAGATATTCGTAATACAGGTTGTATTCGTGTATCGGTAATCCGTCGAATTCTGATATGCTAATATTCCGTATTCACTTATTCATAATAATAGCCAACCACATCGGTCGGGTTGTATCTACCACAGAACACTGCTACTTCTAGCGAAGTATCTATCACACGAAAATATACTGGCATACGCCGTACATGTCCCGCGGATATCTGTTTATCACATTCATACTGCATGCGCTAAGAGTAAGTGAGATAATCTACATGTTTATATACTGAGCAATGAAAATAAGTACATTTCGGTATGATTTTAAGGACTATTTTGTATTGCACTTTTTACATGTCAAAGATGCTCGTGGGAATTTTCAAACGCATTACTTTTTTATGTTTGAACCTTCATTTCTTGATTCTACTAAAGATTCTACTCAAGACAAAATAGTACATTTTCACATTTATTGGAATAAAATCGGTGAGCTTTATTTTCATTATTTTAATTTTATTTTCTGTTTCCTTCGAATTAGTTGGTTTTAAAACGATGATTTGAAAAACGAAAGTAGGTAGTTGACATTATTTACCAATTTCATAAATTAAAATATTTTTACACAAAACGTAATAGGGCCAGAACTAAATTAAGTGTTTTTACGTAATAAATTATGATGGCAATATATTTTTGCGGTGGTATTTAATTATCTTCTAAGAACTTCTCGAAATATAAATAAAAGTTTGATTTTTGAATCGAAATGACTTTCGAAACAAACGGTTCGTGGATTATAATATTATAACTGTTGTGTACCTACTAGCCACCTCAGTACCGTGTCAGAGGTTTTTTTCGGAATCTGGAATACTCACTCTGAGCGACGTACCAGTCTTTCGGTAGAAAAAATAAAAAAGCTGATGTTTTTATGCACCAATAAGAAATAAATAATATTACTAACTTGTTGTTTATATTTATGAACAATGTTGACCAAATTCTGATTTAATAATAATGTTCATTTTAATGTACATAATATTCCTTTTTTTTTTTTATTGCTAGAAGGGTGGATGAGCTCACAGCCCACCTGGTGTTAAGTGGTAACTGGAGCCCCTAGACATCTACGACGTAAATGCGCCACCCACTTTGAGATATAAGTTCTAAGGTCTCAAGTATAGTTACAACGGCTGCCCCACCCTTCAAACCGAAACGCATTACTGCTTCACGGCAGAAATAGGCAGGCCGATGCCTACCCGCGCGGACTCACAATAGGTCCTACCACCAGTAGTACTTGTAAAATATTTAGTATGAAGTCAAATTCCTAGATACAATATACTATTTATAATCATTTAATAACTAATTTATGTGTAATAACTATGATTATTAACGTATTTCATGAATACCGTACTAGGTTTAACTCGTTTACCCGTTTTATCGAAGTTTATTAAGATATCAGGATATATTTACGTATTAGTTAAGGTATTATAATATTACATCATGAATATATTCGTATTAGCTAATATTGACAAATATCGGTATTAACCCATCTTTACTATCTAGTGACTTATAGCTACCACTGTTGTACTGTACTAAGTAATTACCTACTTATTCACTGTAAAATGAAAGAAATTTAAGTGTCATAACTTTATAATATCAAAAGAATTTTATAATATAACCAAGCTTGAAATTCTGATGATTTATTTGAATTCATTGAAACCATAATTTTTTTAAAAGGATTTACTCTTTTGAAAACGTACGCGGTAATTTTCATAAGCGCGTTGCAGTGTACCGAATTTCTGGATCATTAATCTCGAATCAATGATTCGAAATTCTAATGCAAAAAAAGGCGAACTCTGCACATCACTAACAAATAATACCAATGGAGGGTAGAGTAGCACTGTGTAGGTATCTATATGAAAACTGTCCGTCGAAATGTATTAAATTAGGGTAACGCTACATTAGCATCAAGGTATAATTTCAAGGAACCGCCAAATATTAATAGAGAGTAGGTTTGACAGATACTTTTTCTAAATCAATAATTATACCATTCACAGATTACGAAATAAAATCACAAAAGGTAAGGTACACGTTTTCTTGTAATACTTAATTTTTTATGGTTATATTTACTGTAGTATTTTGTACACCGTAAGTTGTTGAAATTATCAATAATAAACGAAATTTCGTCGAAATTATATTATTTTTTTAACTCCGCATACTTCAGTTCAATGATTGCTACATTTATACCATATCCGTTGTCTACACCAGCGCGATTGTGAGAGGTTTTTGAACTGATTTATAGCATACAGCTGGACACTTTAATTTTTTCTCCCTTATGAGATGATTCTCCTTACCTCTTCCTTCTAGAACCAATATGCATGTCTTTAATGTTGTTCATATTTCCATTCGGAAATTAAAAAAAATATAATAATGATTATATCTCTAGCACTACATAAATGTTTTCATTGTATGTTATGAATGATAGCTTCGCCATGGCATGATGATTTAGATATTGCATTGCGATAAAAGGTATTTTTTATCAAATTATACGTTGTAATATTCTTCCATTTGCTGTTGTAGGCAGCTCATCAAACAACCCACCTGGTGTTGAGTGGCTGTAGTTGCTCATGGACTTCGGAAATGCAGGGACTTCGAAAAAAAAGCCGATGCCTACCGAGTTTTATCAAAGATCTCGAGACTTGTCGCAGTAATCTTATGGTTCAGTAAAACAATAAATAAAAACTAAGTTATATAATTAAGATAAATTATCTTTGTTACTATTAATTCAAACAGCTATCTGGTTTAAAAGACTTAAATCCAGGCCCTTAAAAAAATCCTAGTTGTATCTCTATTAATATCTATGATTTTTAGAACAGACAAGATTGTATGGGTTTAGATCTCTTTGCTTTTCCTAGTAAGGAAAAATTGTACCAAAAAATATCTATGCAGTGTGACCATATGTGGCAGGATCTTGCCATTTTGGCAGGATTGGACTCTTACACCGGTCACTCACATGCGCACGAATACGCAAACCCGCAAGTGTAGGACGACATTTGCAAATGATTATGCAAAGTTTTCGCCACATTCGTGGTTTTCCAAGCTGTGTCGGTTTTTAACAGACATCAAAGCGCGCGAACCGCGAACCTTCGCGTAGTCTCTCACACATTCGTTTGCCCAGTTGCGCCGACGATTGCGAATGTAACGGACGAATCGCCATTTTCATAGTTCGTGACGTCTACTGTGTAGCGTATCTTCATCAAAAGAAATCCCATAAAAACCGCATGGCTGTTAATGATGTCTGGGAAAGAATTCAAAACTCTTTTTCTCTTCAATGTTCTATTGACGAATTAAAAAGGAGGAGAAATTCGTGAGACATTCGTAAACAAGTGTAGGAGGAAGCGCAAACGGGTTCGCAAATTGAGTATGCGAACCCATTTGCACGGCCGCTAGGTTTGCGAATGAATGTTTGACGGCCTTTCACATGCGCGCAAACATTCGTACAATGTACGAATATTTGCGCGCATGTCAGTGGCCGGCATAAGGCAGGATCTATAGTTAAGAGATGGTCACACTGTATCTATGGTTTACGTATACATTTCATACATACTACTTCAATGAATAAAATATATCTAAAAAACGTTGATGATTTGATTCTTCATTATTGTTATTATCTAAAATATTGATTTCAATACTCAGTAACGTAAATTTAGTACAGTTGATTCAACTGAGTTGAAGCATATTTTGTATGCTACCATATATTTTCTCACATAATTTAAACTTCAAAATCAATAATCATTATTTTAATATTATTGTATTTTACAAGGTGATTGACATAAAACAATTTCTATAACCTTTAAAAATGGAAACAATTTTAGAGCAACAACGAAGCTACCATGAGGAAAGGGAAAGAACCATGGACGCAATGGTCAAAGAAATTCTTCACAAAAAAACTGGGGTAAGCCATGTTACATGATCACTGTAGATTGGATTTACCTAAGGGGTGCGGGTGCCTTATTGAGGTTAATAAATTAAAAACAGTTGCTTGATGTTAGCTTATTGAAATACATACACACATGAATACCCCTTCAAAGATTTTTTTGTTTGTACATTAAGGTGAAACTTAGTAACAATCACCTAGTACACCTATTGCACATAGTAATATGGTTACATTTTTTGTTGTATTTATTTTTTAGAAATGAACTAAATGTATTTGTTTAAAATTAAATGTCTAATTCTGATGCATTTAACATTTGAATGAACTGCTGAATGAATGGTACCTTTGTTGTATAAATTCAGGGCTGTTATCGAACAGATGAAACAATTAATAAGTTAGTTTTGTTATGAAACTACTAATTACAACTTAGATTTTTTACATTTTTAATGTGATCTGCATTGTTCCATCTATAACAATGTTTCAGCTTGATTTATTGTTGATTTGGTTTGTCCCATTAGGGACACCTTGTATGGTACTATTAGGCACTACAACTTTGTTAGTTTCTGTCTTGAAGCTATTCTACACACCAGTCAGAACTGAAGCCTCTAGTAGACTCTTATTTTGTGGCATTAATGTCTTAATGTACAAGTAACCATTTAATACTATTTAGGCTGTGGGCTTATGCATTATTTCTTCTTCTTTTTCTCCACCTTATCCCACTATGTGGGGTCGGCACAGCTAATTTTTCTCTTCCATTCTCTTCTATCAGCCGTCATCTCAACACTCACTCCTCTCTCTCTCATATCGTCATTCACACACTCCATCCATGTCTTCTTTGGTCGACCTCTTCCCCCTCTACCTTGCACTACCATTTCCATACATCTCCTAGTCACATGCATCTTCTCTCTACGCATCACATGTCCATACCACGCTAACCGTCCGCTCCTTAATTTGTTGTTTACCGGGGCCACTTTCACACTTCCTCTGATATACTCATTCTTTATCTTATCCATTCTTGTCACTCCACACATCCATCNCGCCGAGCACAGCCTTAGCTGTCTTCCTGACACTATTTGCCATTTCATCCCAACAATCATTCGCAGATTTCTCTTTCATATCCTTCATTTCCAAGATGTTTTCTACCATTATTTCCCTAAATCGACCAGCATACTCATCTGTCTCTAGCATACGCCATCTAATTTTTGGCGAGAGACGGTTTTTTCTCCTTAGGTACTTGTAACTGATTATGCATAATTAATAATTATGCATTATTTCTCTAAGCCAAAAATAAATATTATATATCTAACAGAGCTCATGATCGTAGGAATTAATGTTAGACTTGAGGAAATGTAATTTTTTTCTCTAATGTATAGGAAATCAGAATTGCTTCATGATGAAAGTATTTGCTATGGAATATATTTATTTTTGATGTAAACCTAATTAATACTTGTTGTTTTATAATTGTACACTGTATGTTATAGAATTTGAATTTTTTTTTGCATATACTACATACTATGCTGAAATATATTATAATGGTTATGTTTCTTCAGCATCGGGAGACTATAAATGCTGATCATCGTTTGAAGAATTTACATGATGTATGTATATACAATTAAATTTACAGTTTGTGTAACCACTAGTCTTTTAGCATATATTAATTGTTTCTAGAGATATATTGAAGCCTCTATAAGACTTAAAGAATTGTATGAAGATAAAGATGGATTACGAAAAGAAGAAATATCAGCATTGTCAGGTCCACATGAGTTCCAGGAGTTCTATTCGAGACTTAAGCAAATTAAAGAGTTTCATAGAAAACATCCAAATGAAGTGAGTTACAATAATTATAATAGAAAATACTTGTGATTTAGTGCATCTATTATGTAGATGTAGAAATTTTTACACCTGAAAAGTTATTACTTGTATAAATTTTGCATAATAATTTGATTAATAAACCATTTTTTTATATTTTGATTTAATTCATGTTTATGTGGGATGTGTGGGATACAAGCATCCTGACTCCCTTGCCAGAATGCAGCCAGTTGTTTAATTTTGCTAGCTGTCTCGAGGAGTGACACTTGATTGGGATCCAGAAAATAAATACATGAATGTAAAAGCGATGAGTAAGACAGGTTAAGGATCTATTTAAATTTTATGGGTCAGATTAGCACCCTAACATTTTTCATAAACACCTTCATCAGTACCCAATATATTTAAAATTTATTTCATATGCATGATGTATTCTGTTGTAGATATCTGTACCCATGTCTGTAGAATTTGAAGAGTTGGCAAATCAAAGGGAAAATCCTGCTGAGGATTACACAGGTATTTGTTGGAAATATTAAATATTTTTTGTACATATTGTCATCATTGTTGTTTTCAACAGAAGTTATGTTATTTTATTATTAATTGTATTAGAAAAAAATAATTATAAATTTTCAGTTCCTGTCGAGTTCACTGATGAAGAAGGCTATGGAAAGTATTTGGACCTACATTCGTGTTATGAAAAGTACATTAACTTGAAAGGTATTGAGGCAAGTATTTCATTGTTTTATATAATAAAAGTTATATAAATTATACAGTACAATGTGAATGTTCATATAGTTTATTTGGAACATATTTATATATAGTCATATATAGTCATTTAAAAGCCAGCATGTTGATTGTAGGATTTTAAGACCAAACCAAAAAGACTAGTATTTTTGTTACAGAAAGTAGATTATATTACATACTTGAGCATATTTGATCATCTCTTTGACATACCTCGTGAAAGGAAGAATAGTGAATACAGGAATTACATTCGTGCATTGCTCACTTATATGAAAGATTTTGTGTCCAGAGTTAAACCTCTTTTGGATCAGGCTCAAGAAATGGCTCTAGGGCATCAGGAGTTTTTAAAACAATGGGAGTCTGGTACATTTCCAGGATGGCCTGTAAGTATGAAATTATAAAAATATAATTGTGTACTTCATTTTATGAAAATAATTTTGTTTAGTATTATTATATATTGAATTGAAATTAAATTTTGAAAATAAATTTAAAAAATGATTAGTACTGGTAACATTGACATTTAAATTCTTGTAGAAAGAAACTGGTGGAGCTTTAACAAATGTGGGGGCGCATTTAGATCTGTCGGCTTTTTCATCATGGGAAGAGTTGGCGTCTCTTGGCCTGGACAGATTAAAATCAGCTCTTATGGCTCTCGGCTTAAAATGTGGTGGAACTTTGGAAGAAAGAGCACAGAGGTGAGTATTATATTAGCTTTTTTTTCGTAAGTTTACAACATTGTAACTATACTGAGACCTTAAAACTCATATCTCAAGGTGGGTGGCCGTATTTACGTTATAGATGTCTATGGGCTCCGGTAACTACTTCACAGCAGGTCGGCTTTGAGCTCGTCCACCCATCAATCCAATAAAAAAATAAAAAACATTTAGTATTTTTTTAATTTTTTTTTTTATTCTAGATTGTTTAGCACTAAAGGTCAAACAGCCCTTGACAAGTCTCTTGTTGCGAAAAAGGGAAATAAGGCAAAGGCTACCACACAACAAAGACAAAAAGACATTGCTGCAATTGAAGCACAGGTTTATAGGTAAGTCGATTATTGTAGAATATATTATTCAATTACCAAACAATAAAGAATCAATATCCAAATCAATATTCATAATAGTGTCGGTTACTAATTGATTATGAATTGGTTACGAATTGGTTTATGATTTACTGACTAAAACATCTAAGCAACAAGCAAGGAATATAGTTTTTAGACTGCAGAGTGAAAACTGATAGATTTAGAAAGCAAATTCTTTATGCAAGCGAGGCTGGAGTGGAGCAACGGTAGAGCTAATATAATGAAAAGTTGTACCAGAACAGTACTAGAAGGTTTATCTCTAACTCTAAGCATGTAAATAGGATACTAGGACTAATAGTAGAGTAGGATACAAATGCAATTGATATTGATTTGGTTAGCCAGGAGGAAAAGCTTAATGTTTATACAAGACAGGATAATACATTAAGTGTAGGCTTTCTTTACCCTAAAAAGAAACCGACATAAGAAGGTGTTATTTTGATTGTATTCCATAGGTTCGCGACTATAATAAGCAGTACACGAGCATCAACTATTGAAAATGTAACGCGTCGTGCTGCAAGAGCTGCTGGTGAACGTCGCGACGAAAGCGGTGACGAAAGTGATGCTTCTGCAGCACCAGACCTTGATTCAGATGATGATGAAGTGCCATATAATCCCAAGAATTTGCCACTGGGATGGGATGGAAAGGTGAGTTTTAGATTATTTTTTGCTAAAGTTTTGAAAAACAGTTTGAATGTAAACATTACTCATATAATTAGCAAAAAACAGGCTGATGGGGCAAGACATAGTGTCTATTCATATCAAGTTATGCAACTATAACTGGGGTTGAGGTTCAAATGTTCTGACTTGTTTCATGTTTTATAAATAAATATGCATTGAATACACATGCATCAATTTCCTGAAATTGAAACCTCATATTAACTGCATAATTCTGCAACAGAATTAGAAAGTAAATATGCAGGCGAAATTTTATAAATATGTATGTATACAAATAGACATTAATAAGATTGCATAAATGGTAGATGGTGAAATATTTTGGCCAAAAGTAATTACAGTATAATCTCAATACGGCCCACCTGATGGTGAGTGGTTACCGTCGCCCATAGACTTCAGCAATGCCAGGGGCAGAGCCAAGCTGCTGCCTACCGCTTAATACTCTCCACAAGCCTCGTTTGAAGAAGGACATGTCATAGCGCTCGGGAAACACCGTGGAGGGGAGCTCATTCCATAGCCGGATGGTACGTGGCAAAAAAGATCTCTGGAAACGCACTGCCTTGCTTAACAACCTTTTCTCGCATGTTTAGAAGAATTATAACAATACCTTTGGCAGAAATGACGCTTTCTTCTGCCCATGTCATGCAGTTATTGAAACAATGAAATGCTTCATCTGGTTTAACTCTTACAGTTGTATTTAAAGGTTTCTTCTTCTTGTACTACTTCGCATATTTCTACATCTGTCATAATTTGCTCTGTTTCTTCGATCCCTTCAAGCCATGAATTTAAATTTTCTTCACTTGTCTCCAATCCTCTTTCTGATAGATTTTGTAATCAATCGGCAATAGATAGATTATCACTTCAGGATCCCATTCTCCTGTTTCTTCTGTTTCTGATGCACTACATACGCATTAGCGTAGAGGGGCGAGGGAGGCGTGGACGGAGAGTGCTAGATTATTGGACATGTCAGTCTAGTGAAGTGCCGGATCAGTGAGATTATACTGTAAAAGATCCCAAAACAAGATATAAATATTTTTTACATATTCCATAATAATAAATGTAAGAATGGTATTTCAGCCTATTCCATATTGGTTATACAAGTTACACGGTCTCAACATAAGCTACAATTGCGAAATTTGCGGGAACTATACATACAAGGGACCGAAAGCGTTTCAGAGACATTTTGCGGAGTGGAGACACGCTCACGGAATGCGATGTCTTGGAATACCGAATACGGCTCATTTTGCCAATGTCACACAAATTGAAGATGCCCTTGCTTGTAAGTTAATGTTCTTAATTTGTTTCACAACTTTTTTTTTGTACGCATTAAATTTAGCTGTATTTCTTGCCTTCTCAGCTGTACTAAGGCTTATTTCTACAATTCGGCATTTGCTTTTGATAAACTTCATCATTTAAGCACCTCCGAAAAACAACAGTGTTAAAATTTATTCCTATAGTCATTATATTATTATTATAGTACAAACCAAATGAAAAAATAATTATTAAAGGTTGTTTTAAAAACACATACTTATTTTCAGTGTGGGAGAAAATTAAACAACAGAAAGAAACTGAACGTTTCGTGGCAGAGAATGATGAAGAATTTGAAGATTCTCAAGGCAATGTTGTAAATCGTAAGACTTTCGAAGATTTAAAACGCCAAGGACTTCTATAAGGAGTTTGTTCATGGTTATTATTTTTATGATTCGTATGAAATAAATATTTCGTGTATAGATGTTGTTAGCTTTATTTTAAAATAAAATTTGCAATCTGTATGACCTTTGCGCCAAAGCTTTAGAGCCTTTACTGATTTGTGTTGCTCTACTCTGTCATCATAGTAGTCCTTAGTTCCGTTCCGTGCTTAACTCGATACCCCATATCTGTAAAGGAAATATTATGTACTTTTATTCATTAAGGAATCTTTATCTAGACTTGAATTCCTTGATTGAATTGGAATTTGGCACCAATTATTAAAAAATTATGGCCTCAGTGGATAGATTTGTTTTTACGTATATTTTATCTTGTATTGTCTTGAAGGCTGGATGGACAAGCCGCCCAAAATTTCGAACATTATTGCCTTTTGTGTTTAGACCACGACCCCAAAAGGTGCTATACTTGAACGGACGGATGAGTGGACGAGCTCACAGCCCACCTGGTGTTAAGTAGTTACCGGAGCCTATAGACGTCTATAACGTAAATGCCGCCCCTTACCTTGAGATATGAGTTCTAAGGTCTCAGTATAGTTACAATGGCTTACATCGGCTACAACGGCTCCACCCTTTAAATCGAAACGCATTACTGCTTCACGGCTGAAATAGGCAGGGTGGTGGTATCTACCCGTGCGGACTCACACGAGATCTTATCACCAGTAATTACGAAAATTGTAATTTTGCGGGTTTGATTTTATTACACGATGTTATTCCTTCACCGTGGAAGTCAATCGTGAACATTTGATAAGTATTTTATTAGAAAAATTGGTACTCCCCTGCCGGATTAGAACATCGTTGCATCGCTTAATACGAATGCATTGAACATCTCGTCTTTTAGGCCACGACGACTTTAATGAAAAATTTGATAATTATAAAAAATATTTTTGGCGGGAAAGCATATTTGGCGTTTTTCCGGTTAAAATCTGTAGTAAAGGTCGCTAATTAAGAGCTAAGCGTTTGAAATTTCACAAGTATACTGGAGTTATTTAATTTCTTCTCATCTAACATCTACAGTGGTGTATTACATCCCCTAATTTAGTTACCTTTCAGTTTCAAATTTTTAAACTGCTTGCTTTCTATTTTATTTAACCATTCACACGTGGTGACGCGATGACGTGACTGACACACAGACGTGACTGACCTTTGGGACAAAAAGTTCTTACTGTATGGGCAGCGTTCCTTTTGCTTGTCTAATGGACGAATCAAAGGGTAATCAGTCACTTGTCAGACATTGTCAAATTGTTATAAACATCTGTTTCGTTATCAAAAAACAGTTCATCTATTTAGATAACAACAACAAAATAATTAAAAGTGAGATATATTTGGAATAACTATCGTATTGTCTTATTTTAGAAATATTATGATGAACATTTTTGTGAATTAATTTCTCGAAAATAACTAAATGTTTAATAGTTTTTCAATATGTCAGAAAAAACTAGTAGTCGCATTTTCTCAGGCAGCAGAGTTTTAGGTTATGTTAGTACACATGTGCCGTGTGTTGCTAGATATATCCAAAGACGTGGTGAAACAATACTTTGTACGAGCGTAGGAAAGTGGTTTCACACTTATGGCTGTAACAAATTCCGCTTGCTTAGCGTTAGTGGTGAGCATCCAGGACCCATAACATGTATGGTTGGAGACAAATATCATGTCTACACTGCAAGTGAAAATAACATTTATGCCTGGAGACGTGGTTGCGAATTAACGCATGTGTATAGAGGACACAATGCTTCCATTAAGTTGATGTATCCTTTTGGCCCTCATCTTATATCAATAGATGAAGACAACATTTTGAAAGTGTTTGATATCAAAGAAGAGACAGTAGTACTAGAAATACCATATGAAAAGAAAGTATTTGACATAACCACTATATGTCATCCTCCTACATATTTAAACAAAGTTCTCTTGGGCAGCAAACAAGGCAGATTACAGTTATGGAATTTAAATACATCAAAATTAGTTTATACTTTTAATGGCTGGAACTCTTGCGTTAAAATTACGGAGCCAGCTCCTGCAATCGATGTTGTTGCGATAGCTTTAGCGAATAACAAGATTGTGCTTCACAATTTGCGTTATGATCAACTTGTTATGGAGTTCACCCATGACTGGGGAAAGGTCACTTCTCTGTCATTTCAAATAAACGGCACACCTATTATGGTTACCGGAAGCTCTGCCGGTCATATAGTTACATGGAACTTAGAAGAAAAGAGAGTTCATACACAGATGGAGTCTGCTCATAATGCTAGTGTAGCAGGCTTGCACTGTATGTTATCGGAACCATTGATGGTAACAAATTCTGAGGACAACTCTCTGAAGCTATGGATATTTGATATGCCTGATGGTGGAGCTCGACTTTTGCGAAAAAGGTATTGTCAAGTCAACTTTTGAAACTAAGCCATTATTTTAAAGACTAGTATTGTTTTTAAAATTTCATCAGATTAGTTAACAAATATAAGATCCAAATATAACAGGGCTTAATATATAAAAAAAAAAATCAGCTAAATTAGTTGTGAAGGTTACTAGAACACTGTTATCATAATAAAATTTTAATTTTTGCAGAGACGGACCCGCTCTCCCTCCAAATTATGTAACATATTGTGGCTTAACTGGAGATAATCTTTTAGTAGCTGGAAGAGATAGTAGCCTCTACATTATGAATACTATATCAGAAACATTCAATAAGAATTTGGGGAGAGCTTCTCGTAACAGAAAGGCTTCCAAGAAAAAAAGTAAGTTCTATTATAACTGATAGGTCTTATATACATACTAGATTCTAAATCATAGTGTTTCTACAAAGGCTAGGGGTACTGGCATAATATGCTTTAAATTAATTAACTTTAAAGTAGGTTTATCATAAATATCAGCAGAAATTAATACAAAGTAAACAGGATGATAGGTAACTACCATTCCTGAAATGGAAGTGGCATTGATGTACTCAATGTGAACCTTAAACTATTTGTTCATAGCCTAAATTTATACCTATTGTTAATGGTTAAACTTTGTAGACCTACACTATAAATTTAAGATATCACATAGAAATCCCTTCACATAAGTATGTCAAACACACAACAGCAAAATTATACAGTTCTTAGCCAAGTCTTTAAGCCTTACTTTTGAAAACTAGGTACAAGATAGGGTAAAGAAACAAGTTATTCTTTTGTGGTATTTTTTTTATTTTTTTTTTATTGCTTAGTTGGTTGGACGAGCTCACAGCCCACCTGATGTTAAGTGGTTACTGGAGCCCATAGACATCTACAATGTAAATGCGCCACCCACCTCGAGATATAAGTTCTAAGGTCTCAGTATAGTTACAACGGCTACCCCACCCTTCGAACCGAAACGCATTACTGCTTCACTGCGTAAATAGGCGGGGTGGTGGTACCTACCCGTGCGGACTCCCAAGAGGTCCTACCACCAGTGAATATTGTGCATTGAAATAAATTTTATATTATTAACAGAGAGAAGTCAATATGATCCATTGATCATGCCGCCAGTCACAAGGCTTAGCCTATGCATGCAAAGAGATAAACAGTGGGATAGTGTAGCAGCGATTCATAGGAACTTACATTGGGTGACAACTTGGTCTTATCATAAAATGAAAATGGGTCAACACATACTGAAGGCTCCAGGCCTTATAAAAGGAGATGTTGCAACATGCCTCACTGTCACTAACTGTGGAAACTTTGTTATAATCGGTAAGCAGTATTCAAAATTAATTATGTTCTCAAAAATGTTGTATTTTGTTAAGTCCCTTCTTTTATAGTGGTAGTAAAAAAACTTAGACAGAAAGAATAAAAACACACATTAAGAGATAGTTTGGAATATGCCAAATGCAAAAAAACCCTTTTTTTATTAAATTATTACATTTCAATTACCTTTAGGTTATAGTAATGGACAAGTACACAGATTCAACATGCAATCAGGAATACACAGAGGGACTTTTGGGAATGAGAAGAAAATAGCACACAAAAGTGCCGTCAGAGGAGTTGAGACTGATTTATGTAACCAAAAGGCTATCACTGCAGGTGCAGATAATAAACTGAAATTCTGGTACTTTAAGAATTGTAAGTGAACTTCCTTTGGCTATAATATCACAACAATTTTTGATTTATGTACAGAATTTAATTGAACAATTTGCAAATCATGCCTACCAATTAATTAACTTTATATATAACAGTTAACTCAAAAGCATGTTAATTGGTCAAGCTATACAAGCACTAAGATTTTTACAAATTCATATTTTGTTTACTTGCAATCCCAGACAATGTCCCCACAAAACATCTGATTTTAGTCAATATCATGCAGAATTAAATGATTTTTTATTCATGCAAGGAATCCACCAGTTATTATTTTCATCTTTGTTATGTTCAGTATAGTAAAATTGTAAATAGAATAAATTTGGTGGTGGTTTTCAGTAATATTATCTGAGAAACTCGATGTGCCTAATTTTTGTACCATTTAAATGGCTTAACTTGTTCCATATTAGGATTCACAGATAACTGTTTATTTATTTGATATTGTGACCTCAATTTAGTGTAAAATAAAGTGCTGATTCTATATTATAAAATAATCACCTAGAATAAGTATAAATATTCATTTAATTAGAATTATGTCTATTTCAGTAACTGCACCATACTCAGTTATGCGATTAGAAGAGTCAGTTTCAATGACTAAATGCCACAGAGAGAGTGCCTTGTTAGCATTGGCTAATGAGGATTTCAGTATTACTATAGTTGATATAGACACAGTGAATATAGTGAGAAAATTTGAGGGACATGCAGGAAAAATAAATGACATTGATTTTGACCACCAAAGCAGGTGTGTAATAAATGTATTTTAGTATGAAACACAAAAAAGTGGTTTTGTCTTGCTTGTAATCTTCAGAATTAAAAAAAAATAGGAGTTTGAAACATTAATATTTAAAATTTTCAGGTGGCTGATTAGTTCTTCAATGGATTCTACAATATGTACATGGGACATACCTAGTGGTGAACTTGTAGATATATTTGTAGTAAGTAGACTAACATAGAACATTTTCACAACATACATTCTTTTATGTCATCATGTTGTGTCAGTTGTGATGCTATTTTCCTGAAAATTATAATAATAATTGATTGCTTTTTCATGAGATACGTATGCCAGTTTCCCAGGGTATCGTTTTAAGAAAAAACAAACTTTAACCAACAATAAACGATCGAAAAATAGAAAATTGCTTTCAAAAATAACATATAAGTACTAAAAACATGATAACTTATTATTTTACTGTTATTTGTAGACTGAGCGACCATGTACATCCTTAAGCATGTCACCTACTGGCGATTACTTAGCCACGACGCATGTCGGTGATATAGGAGTGTTTCTATGGGCTAACAAACTTTTGTATGAAAAGATATTCCTGAAACCAATTGACCGATATTCTGTGGATATACCTAAACTTGGTAAGTACAACATACATAATAACTAGTATCATATCTGGATAAACTAATTTGAGCATATATTTAAAACACAGAATCTTGTATGGCAGGTAGCTTTTTTTCTTTTTTGTTGCTTAAATGGGTGGACGAGCTCACAGCCCACCTGGTGCTATTTGGTTACTGGAGCCTACAGACATCTACAACGTAAATGCGCCACCCACCTTGAGATGCAAGTTCTAAGGCCTCAGTATAGTTACAACGGCTACCCCACCCTTTAAACCGAAACGCATTACTGCTTCACGGCAGAAATAGGCAGGATGGTGGTACCTATTTGTACGGACTCACAAGAGGTCCTACCGCCAGTATATATTTTTATTGAATTTTTACAGCTCTGCCTACATTGACACCAAAAGATCCATGTCAAAATGAAACAGAAATCATTGAAGTCTGTGAAGAACCAGAATACAAATCTCCCATCCAAATCAGTGAAGAATTAATAACTTTGTCGAATCAGCCAACGTCGCGATGGTTGAATTTATTAAACCTCGATATTGTGAAAAAACGTAATAAGCCAAAAACACCTCTGACAATACCAAAATCGGCACCTTTCTTCCTGCCCACCATACCAAGCTTAGAGCTGGAATTTGACGTAGAAAAAGACAAAGAACACAATAGTAATTCTAAGTTATTGATACCCGAATCTCTGTCGACGTTGTCAGCATTCGCCAAGAAACTAATATCTTCTGATAATAATGAAGACTTCAGTAAATGCGTTGAGATTTTGAAGACCTTATCCTCGTCGGCTATTGAAGTTGAAATCAACAGTATGGCGCCTGACATGGGCGGCTCTATAGACGTAATGGTTAAATTCTTGCAAATGTTAGAGATTACATTGAACAGTAACAGAGATTTCGAATTAGCTCAATCTTATTTAAGTTTATTTTTAAAATCCCACACAAAGGTTATATCCGAGGAAAAAGAACTGCGTGATTCATTGATTTCAGTAGAAGAAGCGGCCACAGAATCATGGTCGAAATTACAAAATCAGTTGATGTATAATATCTGTATAGTTAAGGCATTAAAGGACATGTAATAAATTTTACTTTTGTTCTTTTATTTTAATGTTTTTTTATTTATTATTGCTATTATTTGTAGTAGCAGTGGTAGTGTCTAATGAAGTGTGTTACACTGTGTATTTTCCAAAAGGAGTTGTAACGGCAGTCTTTCCTAGACACTACATTCACAAAATCTCGATTGTGAAATTTCTATTAATTGTTAAAGCACACTGTACATTAAACACGTTAGTCATTAGTAAACTAAAAAATACATGTTGTTTCGTTAAAGGCTTATTACACATGGCTGAATTTAGTGAAGTGTAATAGCATTAAGTAAGTGAGTCTACTGAATTCAGTAGCAAGGATGGTTTCTGACTGACTAAATCATATAGAAGCCTAATTAGAAACGCATTTAGGAAGGTGTAATCGCATTTAGTTACTTAATGGTTTCAGTCGTCCCATAGCTCTCCGTGCGTAAGGACGTTTTAGTTTGTTTTTTGCTTTCGAATAAAAATTATTAATTTCGGTCGCCTTTATTTAATGTGACAGATATTTATAAATAGCCCGACATGTTTCAGGGATAGTTTTTGTCATCAGGGGTTGGGATATTGAAGAACTAAATTTTAAATCTGGATACGAAGTTCATATTTGCTAACATTCCGCACAGCAATAAATATTTCTTCACCGATATTCTTGTTTTTATTTATTTTTATTTTGAGAAATTGAAACAAAAAACGAAAACAAAAAAAAACAAAAAAATTGTTGTTTTCTAGACAATACTGGGGCCATTCTCTTACGCACACGACACGTCTTACTTCGTCGCGTTTAAACTGACAATTGATTCAGTAATTGAATTTAGAACAGTGTAATCAGAAGCTTCTAAATTTGCTTCTGAATTCAGTCGACTAAATTCAGCCAAGTGTAATAAGCCTTTAAGTTAATATTTCATGAGTGTAGTTGAAGGGCGACAAGCGCGTGTCAAGATCACTGACCCCGCGCGTCATTTGAATCTGTTTTAATTACATTGCGGCATATAGCATTGACAATTAAAATTAGAATTACTATACTGATTGTTTAGTGTTCTGGTTTTAGGAATCTCCCGTAACCTGTACGTATCAGGGGTCTGGTGTGAGACATTCACCCGTAGTCTCCGCGTGTCTTCGAAATGTGGCCTTTGATACGTTTTCAATAGTCCGCTTGATCTCGCGGCTTACATGAAATGAACATGGCCAGCATGAAATTTCGAGGTTACTGGAATAAATTGAAATCAATATTTTATTTAGACCACGTGTATATATACAAAAACGCATTTGTATGCAATCTTCATATATGTAATCGGTAAACTCAATACATAAATATAAAAAAAAACAACTACCTACTGCAATTAGTATCTCAAACTAGTCGCCGTTAATAACTATATTTTTTTCTAATGCTGATTGTATCATACATGCCATATTTTATTACATTTTAAAAGTTATTTATAACAAAGTCCCTAGTTAGATGAGACCATGAAAATTAACCTTGTCTTTATTCGTATAATTTTACTTAATAAATGTAATTGTTCCCTCATTTCCTTCCAATTGTATTAACAACAGCTGTCGTAGTCTAGGTCTACTCCCTGCATTCATTCACAATGAGGTGAGTTGCTGACGCCTACAGCGGGTCATCGAATAGTTTGACGTAGGCAAAAAAACCTTAATTTTAATGGTATTTTTATGGGATTCTATGGTATTCGACACACTGCAAAATTTTATCCAATTTTTTTCAAATGTGTATTTGAACTTATGATCTTTCGTATTGTATCATAATGAACTCTCAACGTTATGAATGTAGGTAAGTAGGTATTAAACTAATGTAATGCACAAACTGAAATATACTAAACATCCTTCTTGATTAAAAATAGGCTGTTGAAATTGAAATCCGTTTGTAATAGCTAAATCCCTAGTTCACATTGCTCTATAGTATAAATACGAATATATGATTATGAAACTAACATTAGAATATATAACACATGCAAACTGAAATTAAAAAAACAAATTTTATTTTATTTACGAAATTTTGAGAGCATCGTAGGTTTTTTGAAGCTCCGCATAGAATGGCATAGAATATGTATGTACCTAATAAATTTAAAATTTATTACGTATTTACCACTAGTAACGCAAATTTTGCGAATTAACTTTTGATTATACGGTGCTGTGTCTTCACCGTGTAAGTTCTTGATTACTGAAATCAACTTAATTACTTATTTAAACATATTATATATATCCTATGTAGGTATTTACTTTATTAAAATGGTATGTTTCCCAGGACCGAACCTATAGTCTTACAACGTACAATGAGAGTACACAAAGCTACGAATGTTAACATTAGTATTTTACCAATAACTAATATATTATGATATAAACAGATTTATTTATTTATTGAATAGCTATTAGGCGAGATATTCCTATAGGATAGAAGACGGAATACATATTAGGATTCCATGTACTTTGAGAATAAGTACCTATAATACATAAATATATGTCTCTGTAATCATTTAGAAAAGGAATCGGTTGATAAACAGATGCAAAAACGTCAGTAGATATCTAAAGGCTTTTTCTTTTTTGGAAATAAAAAACTATTACTTCAAACAATAAGATAATTATTAGTAATAAATCTTATAATAGTTACAAAATATTAAAAAATAAAAATAAAACGGCAAATAGATAATAAAATAGTACATAAATATTTTGGCTTTACCTATTTATACCTACATAGATTAAACCCTCTGATCTCGATTACGTAAGTAACCGGAAGATCGATGGTACGGACCAAGTGATCATCGATGAGGTGTACTTGATATTTGTTGAGTGTGGGTTTCCGTTATCTGTGGCGGTCCGATAGTGTTACGGTAATTTTGAGTGTATGTAATTGTTTGTTGTTCGATGTGAAGAAATTCCCTGAAGATGCCATAATCGCATTATCCCCTACTACCGATACATATTATAAGTATATTCAGACAATTTCTCGACTGTTGTATTACAGTTTACACGTTTCTTTATCAGAAACTGTGATCTATGTATTCCAATGTTCGTAGTTGCTAATAAAAAAATCATGCATGAGTATAATTCATATTTGAAAATATACGGTCATGTTGAGTTGTTGGAGTTTTCATTTCCATCTCAATCGTTCCCTCATTGTTGAAGATTGTGATTCTTCTGTCGTCTTCTCACTTTCTCTCCATCTATTCGTCCTATATTTTGTATCGCGGAGAGTTTGGTTGACCAGCGTTCCGAGCTGTTGAGTCGCGGGGGCAGGCCACCACTTTGGGCTACGGGCCTGAAGTTTTTTTTTTTTTTTTTTTTTTTCCTACCTAAACTGATAGCCTTGAGAGGCTATATCTGCGTAACCCTAACTTTTGTAGGTGAGCTCACGGGGCTCAAACCTGATGACGTTGCTAACACGAACCCTAGCAAGAGCCGTGCTTCGCAGAATCTACCACCGGATCGGAAACGCGACCCACTGAGAAGATCCGGCGAGAAACTCAGTGGGCTGTGTCTGAGAGTTAATTTACTCGTCGAGCCCTTCGTCGCAAGCGACGGGTTCGACGAGAACGGTGACCGGTGCTTGAAGTACCTAAAAGCACCGTTAGTGGATCGGGAGGATCCGAGATGACGTGTTTTGGGCGACGTCGACTGCTTTCCATTCTGTCCGCAGGATCGGGAATGTAGTTACCGGCGGCCACGATGAGAGGGTTCTCGTGTCGTGCCGCTTTATCGAAGGGGCCTGTAGGTTTTTGGTTTTCTAATTTATACTGTGCTTAGTGCGAGTTTCTTAACGTTCTCGATAGCGTAAAAGTTAAGCCAATTTAGTATGCAGTTGGAACAGCGCTCCTAGCGGCAAACGTACGTAAACGATCCCATTCCATACAAATATGACCTAGCTTTTACGCTATCGAGAACGTTAAAAAACTCGCACTAAACACACAGGTAGCGATAGATCTTTCTAGGCTATCAACGTTTCTGCATGCTATGTGACCAAAATCTTAGCTGTATGTGATCTTATTCAGTTTCGATGTTCAAGGTTCACACTACTCTAATAACTCATCATGAATACTATGCTTAATGAGATTTTTAATATGTTGTCGTTGTTGATTTTTAATGTGTGCTGCTATAAATAATAAAAATTCCAAGTAAAGAACCTGGTTTTATTTTAAAGAAAAATATTAGAATAGGTAACCTCCGTTTTATGTCTTTTGAAGGCGATGACACTCAAATCTTTTGATTGATTTGATTGATCATCAGTAATTATACCTACAATACATACGGCTAGAATTAGATCTACTCATGTTTAAAATGGAGCGCGTCAGCCAAAAAATTTGTAGGTACTTATGTAACAAAACCAAGATTATGTTTTTTGACCTCGTCAACCGCAACTTACTGAATTAACGCATATAGTAAACTGTGAAGTGATCCAATCTTACGTTTACTTAGACTCTTTAATAAACATGACCGACGAAATACGATGGATAGTCTGTAAAAATTGGAATACCACTAAAGTAATAAATACTCTATTTTTTTATTTTATTTTATTTTATATGATTGAAGGATTACTGGTGGCCCGGAGGCCTTTCCAGTTTCACCAGGACAGGTGGGCGAGCAAAGGCTCAGCCAGGAGGGGTGGGATTTGCTAACAGCTACCCGAGCGCCTCCGAAGGAGACCTAACAATTCAAGAGTAGCTGCTTCGCGAATGAATCTACCACCGGATCGGAATCGCGACCCGCTGAGAAGATCCGGCGAGAAACTCAGCGAGCTGATTCATGGGTTAGGTTGCACGGCGAACTCTTTGTCGAGTTCGACGAGTACGGTTACCGAGGTCCCTAAGCCTGCTCCTAGAGCTGAAGGCGTCTAGTGCAAAGGTTATTGGATCTGGATAAATACTCTAATGATAAGTTACTAAGTAAGTGGATGATTACATCTAGAAATTCATTTATAGAATTTGTTTCGGTTTGATCTGTAGGGTAGTTGCCATTAGAATTGAGAGTGCATAGAACATGCCTTATGAAAGAAATATGCTTCGATATTGATTATTGGTGGCGCACACTTACATTATGTTTCGGTATAGGTTTTGTTTACCATTTAACAGAAGGAAGATTCGTACAACATAATATCTGTCAGCGTAATGTACTCTAATAAAAAAGTATAAAATAAAATGACTAATGTGTAGGAGCGGGCTTTTTTTTTACTAGGACATGGAAAAAGTTAACATGAT